CCTCTGGGAAAACTGGGTTTTGAATGGATTAGGTCAGGTGCTTGCTTGGCTGCCAGGTTTCCTCCCAGCCGTCCATTGGGAAGCCTGGGTTAGGCCAGAGAAGGGCAAAGGTCAGCTATAAAAAGCCAGATGAGCCGATTGCTGATGGTGGCTCACGCCTGTCATCCCAGCTACTGAAGAGGCTGAGATCTGAGGATCACGGTTCAAAGCCAGCCCGGGCAGGAAAGTCCATGGGACTCTGATCTCCCATGAGCCACCAGAAAACCAGAAGTGGTGCTGTGGCTCAAAGTGGTAGAGAACCTGCCTTGAGCAGAAAGCTCAGAGACAGCACCCAGGCCCTGAGTTCAAGTCCCAGGACCAACAACAACGACAACAAAGGTTTAGATTGCCCCTCTTGTGCCAACCCCAGAGCAGACAGGGTGCTATTCAGACTGGAACCTCTCCTCAGCTCCACTTAGGGGAGGCCAGTGGATTGAACCCAGCCAGAGACTGATCGCAGACGCTGCGTGCAGTACACACACACTGAACGTGCATGTTCACCTGTGTGCGCATGCGTGTGACCGCTCTGGGAACCCAGACTTGCAGCCTGGCAAACACCGCCCACGGATGAGCAGGCGGAGGGAGAGCTCCTGGGCTGCCCTGCCCAGGTCTCGGAGAGGCTTGTCTGGAGAAAATGCAGACCGCGTGCCTGGGCTTGCTGTGTGTCGAGGGCGAAACGCGCGTTGTGAAATCAGGAGAGAGACTGAGGCGGGCAGAGTGCCCCGCACCCCGCCAGCCCTGTGTGAGTGTCTCCAGAAGCTGCCTCTGGAAAGACAGACTTAGGGGGACCCCCTGGGGTGGGGGGGGGTCACATGCTAGAAGCCAATCCCAAGCTGAGCAGGGCGACCGGCCTAAGTCCCAGTATGTGAGAGGATGGCTTGAGTCTAGGAATTTGGGCCTAGGCAACACCATAAGACTCTGTCTCAAAAACGAGGGAGCTAAAGCACCCATGGCGCCTGCCTGTCATCTTAGCTGCTTAAGAGGCTGAGCTCTCAGGATCGTGGCTCCAAAGCCAGCCCGTGGCAGACAAATTCACGAGACTCTTATCTCCAAGTCACCAGCAAAGCAAAGCAGGAAGTGGAGCTTGGGTTCAAGTAATAGAGCGCTCAGCTTGAGCACAAAAACTAAGGGATTGAGCCCAGGTCCTGAGTTCAAGCCACAGGACCAGTATACATGCATGTGTGCGTACACACACACACACACACACACACACACACACACACACACACACAGCCTCTCTCCTCTACCCTTCCCCATGCCTTCTCTTTGGTGTGTTGGAGTAGCCAGACCTAGAGTCCCTGAGATTTGAACCTGCAGCCTACCACCCCAGTCTGACCACCTCTACGCCACTCCCGACGCCGTTGCAGCACGAATGGCCTTTGCCCAAGGCCAGGAAGGACCTCGTAGCAGAGGAGCGTTAGATCCGAGGGCTGACAGAAATGGGAGCACAGCTGCTACCCCAGGGTGAGCAGCCGTGGAAATCAAAGCCGGGGAGCCTGGCCAGGAATCCACGCTCCCAGCTGTGCAGGGCAGGTGGGAGGGGCCGCGGCCTCCCGGAGGCTGGCTTTCTTGGGCCTCCAGGGCCAGCGGAGATTAAAGGCGGCCGTGGGTGGGCCGGACAAATGGCAATTTCCAGGGTTCTTCATCTTCCCAGGGCTGGAACTCGTCTTGGAAACCCTGTGGTCAGCGGCTCTCAGACCCCAGCTATTTTGCTTCTGGCTGGCTGCTTGAGTTGGGGTCACCTCCTCCCACTTCTTGGCTTCATTATTATTATTTTCCCTGGGCGTGGCGGGTGGGGGCTGGCTTTGGAGCAGGATCTTCTCCTTCGGGTCTCCTGAGTAGCTGGGATTACAGGTATGAGCCACGGGTGCCTTGCTTTCTTCATCTTCAGTTCCTCTAGGAGCCAGGGCAAGGGAGCTGGAGCCTGGTCTGCAGGAAGAAACCCTCCTCTGTCCCGGGAAAGGCCCTTGTGGCCAGGCACCCACGGCTCCTGCCTGTCATCCCAGCTACTCCCTGAGGCTGAGCTCTGAGGTTTGTGGTTCAAAGCCAGCCTGGGGCAGAAAAGTCTGTGAGACTCTGATCTCCAACGGACGACCCCGAAAACCAGAAGTGGCGATGTGGCTCAAGTGGTAGAGCGCCAGCCTTGAGTAAAAAGTCTCAAGGACAGTTCCCAGGCCCTGAGTTCAAGCCCCAGGACACACACACACATACACACACACACACACACACACACACACACACACACACACACACACACACACACACACAGGTCCAGCATTCACAGGGCTCGCTGTAGTTGCTCCTGGATAGCCCCAGGACCCCTGGAACTCACCAGAATTCAGTATCCGCCCCGGTGGTGGGTGACAGTTGTCACTCTGTGGACGGGTGGTGAACCCATGAATTCCCCAGACAAAAGAAGTGACCGGCACCAGGGCGTTGGGTGCAAAACAGACTTTACTGGGGTTGAGGAGAGATGGCGGGCGTTTACACAGAATACGCAACCCTGCGTGGTTGAACGCCGCACACCCGGACGCCCCCAAACCCAGGCCCCATCCAGCAGCCCCAACTCCAGACCGGTTTGCTCCCTCCACCCCCACCATGGCCCCTTTCTCGACTGCAATCTTAACTCAGGTCCTTGCCTTCCGATGGCCACTGTGCCACTTGAACCAGGCCTCCCCCCACGCGGGTTGGTTTTGGAAATGAGATCGTGGGAACTTCCCTGCCCAGGCTGGCCTGCGGACCTCGATCCTCCGGATCTCAGCCGGCGGATCTGCAATAGCAAACTAGATGGCAAGTTTCCTGCCCATCTCGGACAAAGGGCGGGACAGAGCTTGTGTGTGTGTGTGTGTCTGTCTGTCTGTCTGAATGTAATAAAGCAGCCCTTGTCTGTCCTCAGACTCTTCCAAAGAGCAGAGCAGAAGGACCGGGCCTCTGGTTGAACACCCAGAACCTTCCATGACAGAAGCAGAATCCTGTCTCCCTGCCGGCAGGGGGCGTCCCTGAGCCTCAGCCGCCAGACCCGGGCACGTTGTCTACCCCAACACACCCATGACGCACCCACCCATCCAGCCTCCCTTCCTCCCCTCCCTCCTCTCCCCATCCTTTGAACCAACTTGTCAGCTTGACCTCTTCCTCCTCCTCCTAGACTTCCGGACCCCTGCGTCCCTCATCTCCCCACACATCCCCTACAAATGCAGCAGACCCAAGGCAAGAGCTAAACCATTCACCCAGCACAGGAACACAGCCACCAGCCGCCCAAGCAAGCTAGGCCGGGCTCAGTGCGCATCTCCTTCATCATCATCTCTACCACGGGGCCGGCCGTGGGCAGGGCAGCGGATGCCTGTAGTCCCAGCTACTCAAGTGGTGGGAGGTAGGAGGTTCGTTGGAGCCCAGGCACTGTCCTGTGAGACCGGGGTTGGGGGGGGGGGGACACAAGGACCGGAAGGGTGGGACCTGAGCCTGCAAGGCGGCTGCTTCCGGAAGGACGTCAGGGCGGCCACTAGCGGTCGGGACATGTGTGGGCAAATAGCAAGAGCAGAGTGGGGGGGGGGGTCCAGCAAGTAGGGGTGCCCCTGCCCCCCCAGCCCCAGGATCTCGGTGCCAGAAGCTGCCAGCCAGGGCCAGTGTCACCCACGGCCCACCTTTGGGGTGCATGAGCCCCCGGACTCCAGTGGTAACTTTTCTTTCTTTCCAGCACTGAGCTGTGAGCCGGGCGAGGTGACTCTTGTTTTTGTTGACTTTTGTGCTGGCATTCAGGGGCTTGAACTCGGGCCCCGAGAGCTCTCGTGTGGTTTATCTTGCTCCTGGGCTGGTGCGCTACCGCATGAACCACGCCTCCAGTCCAGCTTTTTGGTGGCTCCTTAGAGATGAGAGTCTCAAGGATTTTCTTTTTCTTTTCCGGTCTGGACTAGCGTCAAACCCTGACCTCCAGGTCTCAGCCTCCGGCGTAGCTACGATCACAGGAGTGAGCCACCGTGACCTGGCTGTGATCCTGCTTTAATCTGTCGGTCATGGGGTTTGAACTCAGCGCTTGGATGCGGTCCCTGAGCTTTTTCGGTCAAGGCTGGCGCTCTACCGCTTGAGCCACAGCGCCACGTCCGATTTTCTGGTGGTTTATTGGAGATCAGAGTCTCACGGACTTTCCTGCCCAGGCTGGCTTTGAACCGCGATCCTCAGATCTCAGCCTCCTGAGGAGCTGGGGTGACAGGCGGGAGCCACCGGCGCCGGCTGTGGGTAGAGGCGGACTGGGCGGCCTCGCTGCTCACCCCTGCCAGGCCTCCTTCTACCTGCTGCCCTACGGGCCGATCTCTGTCCCGCACCGCAGATGGACATAAATTACATAAATAAATCTAGCACCCCTGGCTGCCAGTGGATTCGAGGCTCCTCTGGGTGAGAAGATTGTGGACCCAACACACACACACACACACACACACACACACACACACACACACACACACACACACACACACACACACACACACACACGAGGTAGGTTCGTATCCACTGCTGTGCCCATTTCCCAGATGGGCAACCAGAGGCCCCAGGAGACGGAGCAGTTTGCCTCGAGTCTCCGTGGCTGCCCTGGCGCCAGCCCTCACGGCTCGTCTCCTCCACGCTGCCCCAGCTCACGCGCCAGATCCTAGGCAAGCTGGGCTGCCCCAGCGACCTGGGCGGTGAAGGATGATGCTGGCATGGATGGAGGGGCAGTGGGGAGGAGGCCTGCAAGGATTCAGGACAGCCAGCACATGTCGGGGTACGCGCCGGCCCCCCCTGCCCTCTCCCGGGCTCCCCCACCACACCCGGGCCTCGGGGAAGACACAGCGTGGGTTTATTGCGGGGGTGAGGGGAGAGTGGCAGCGGCTCCCGCGGGAGAGGCCTCGGCCACGCCCCTCCACTCGGGCAGCCCCCCACACACGTACACACACACACACACAGGGTCCCCCCGACGCTGCCAGCCCCGCACCCCGAGTCTCATTCCTTCACCAGCCGGTAGACGTGGTGCTGGGCGCCATGCGCGCTGGCCGACACCTCGAACACGTAGGCGATGCACAGCAGGGTCTCCTGCGTGTCTCTGTTGCTCACCACCTGTGGGGCAGAGGCGGGTGGAGAGGAGTCCGTGGGCTGCGGGGCGGGGTGGGGGGGAGGGAGGGGGGACTCCCCGGGCATCCACGGCCCCCCGCGCACCTGCAGGACGGTGAAGTTTTCCAGCACGCTGTTCATCATGTACGGCTCGGGCAGGTGCTTCAGCTTGTGGAGGAAGTTGACCATGTACTCGCACAGCGGCGAGCGGTGGATGCGGTACAGGTAGCGGCCACCCTCATAGCGCGCGTACTCTGTCTGCGGGGACGGGGGGGCGTCAGCACCCCGCAGGCCCGGCCTCCCGCCCGCCCTCCCCCTGGGCGTCAACCCTGGCCACGGTGTGCTGGATGGACACACACACACACACACACACACACACACACACACACACACACACACACACACACACCACAGCCCGCCACCAGGGGGCGCTGTGTCCCACCCCACATGGACCCCAGGGTCACCCGGCCCGCCCCACCACCAGGGGGCGCTGTCCCCCACCCCACATGGACCCCAGGGTCACCCGGCCCGCCCCACCACCAGCAGCCTCCTACCTCAACCTTCTCCACCACCTGCTTGCCGAAGGAGCAGACCTTGGTGGAGCAGGTGATGACCATGTTCTCGGCGCTCTGGTACTGGCTGGACACCCCGTAGAAGCAGCCGGCCTCATCCTCCACGCTGGTGTTGAGGTCCGCCTGTGTGAGAGGCACATGGAAAGGCCAGGACCCGGTTGGCTACGCTGGCCGGGAGGAAAGGTGGAACGGTGCTCGCCCAGCACACTCGCGGGACCCCAGGGTCCATCCTCAGGGTGGAGAAGAGAAGCCCGGCACTGGTGGCTCCCGCCTGTCATCCCAGCAACTCAGGAGGCTGAGATCTGAGGATCGTGGTTCAAAGCCAGCCCAGGCAGGAAAGTCCGTGAGACTCTGATTTCCCATGACCACCAGAAAATCAGAAGTGGCGCTGTGGCACAAGTGGTAGAGCGCCAGCTTGAGCTGAAGAGCTGAGGGACGGCGCCCAGGCCCTGAGTTCAAGTCCCAGGACCGGCACAAAGACAAAACTTGGGGCAGACCGTGCCAGTCTGTGGTCCAAACTGGCCTGCTCCCCGCTCCACCCACCCCGAGCCCCAACGCTCCCTCCCCCTGCCTGGGCGTGACCTTTTGCAGGGCTGGCTGCTGACCAGGGACAGGCCCAGGCCTGCAGGCTTGCCCACCGCCAGCAGGGGGAGCTGAGGAGCCAGCCCCCTCCCCACCCCCCCCCAGAGGAACTGCATTTCTGAAGCCCCTCAGCTTTATACTATTGATAAGGGGGTTCCCGAACCCCGGGAACGGTGAGGCACTATGGCCCAGCAGTTCCACTTCCGGCCACTAGGGTGCGCCGGAATGCCATGTCTCTCCTGCAGCCACTGCAGGAGAGCAGGAGAGGTGGGTATCTTGTCTTAGGACACAATAGAAACAGTATGCAGCCATGAAAAGCGCCGAGAAGGGCCCCCATTTGTTGTGGGCAAACAGGGCCACACTGAGCACAGGAGCTAGTTATGAGATGCAAAGGGGCGGTTAGGAGGAACTGAACACAAAAGACCTTCAGCAGCAACCAGCTAAGGTTCTGCACCCAGGGGCCCTGCAAATCCAACAGTCATGTTTACTGAACAGCTCCCAACCCAGGGCCAGCATCCATCCACTATTGTCCTGTACAAAAGAAGCTGAAGCCTGGCGCTGGTGGCTCACGTCTGTCATCCCAGCGACTCAGGAGGCTGAGATCTGAGGATCATGGTTCAAAGCCAGCCCAGGCAGCAAAGTCCATGAGACTGTGATCTCCAATAAACCACCAGAAAATGGAAAGTGGCGCTGTGGCTCAAGTGGTAGAGCGCCAGCCTTGAGCTGAAGAGCGGAGGGACAGCGCCCAGGCCCTGAGTTCAAGCCCCAGGACACACACACACACACACACACACACACACACAGAGCACTCCCTGTAGGGAGTCTCCTGGGCTCATCCCCCCCACAAAGGCAGCACTACCCCGGTACCCCAAGAAGTATATGTACATCCCGGCCTTGTCACCCTGTAGGGACAGACGGACAGACGTGGGGGTGGGGGGAACCTGGTCTCTAAAAGCCTCAAGTCTGCACGCTGCAGTTCCAGGCATCACCTCCGGGTGGCGCTTCGCAAGCAGCCAAGAGCCCCCAAGCGCAGGGCCCGCTGTTCACGCGGCTCAGCTAGCTCAGGCCAGACTCGGGGTCCCAGCCTGGCCCTGCCAGGGACGCGGGAGCCCCTATTTCTGTTCTCCAGGAATCTACCCAGGGCGGGCAGAGCGGGGGGACACAGTAGAGTGGGAACGATGGTGTCTGTATCGGGGGAGATTCACACGGGGACCCCAGGACCCGCCCCAGGCCACAGGGGGTGGGGGGCTCAGCGGCTGGGGGGGCACCTCCTTCTACAGCCAGCACAGCCTCCTCAGGCACAGGAGGAAGAAGGCCAGCCCCCGCCCCGGCCTCCTCCCGGGCCTCCACCCACTGCCTCGCCCCCGCCCACGACGCCCTATTCATAGCCTGGCCTGTGTGCAGTGGGCGGCGCACAGGCCCGGCCTGAACAGGTGTGGGGCGTCCGGTGACCGACAGATGGGCTGGAGGGGCAGGGCACGGCGGGTTCATTGTCCTGCGCTGGTGTGTGAGAAGCAGGGGACTGGGGGCTGGGCGGGGGGGGGGGGCCTGGCTTCCCCTCAGGTCCAGTCTAGTGCTTCCAGGGCCTGGGGGTTGGGGGTGGGCTCAGGTTCTCCTGCGTAGACAGAGCCTCCTCTCCGGCCACCCCCCCCCCCCCCGCCCATCCTGGGCACGGATGACATTTCCAGCTGGCTGTAAGAATGATGGCCGGGCGCCAGGGCTCACGCCTGGCATCCCAGCCACTCAGGAGGCTGAGCTCGGAGCAAAGCCCGGGAAAGTCCCCAGACTCAAAGGAACGAATTTCCCTCTTCCCCCAGCTCACCGCAGGCCCCGGCCCTCCCTTCCCACTCAGGCCGCCCACCCACCCGGGAACTTGGGGAAGGGCTGTCTCCCGGGGCCCAGTGGGGAGGAGGACACAGGCAGGGGTGAGATCTCCCCCCCCATGCCTCAACCCCCCCCCTCCATCGCAGCCCAGAGAACTGCTTTTTCCAGAGGGGAAACTGAGGCACGGTGAAGCCGAGACCTGGGGATCCAACCTCAAGAGCATCTGTGTCTGGCCTGCTGGACCCAGAAGCTCTACCCCTTGAGCCACAGCACCACTTCCAGTGTTCTGGTGGTTCCTGGGAGATCAGAGTCTCAGGGACTTTCCTGCCCGGGCTGGCTTTGAACCACGATCCTCAGATCTCAGCCTCCTGAGAAGCTGGGATGACAGGCGGGAGCTGCCAGCCCCTGCCTCTAGATGATGATGATGACGATGATGATGATGATGATGACGACACGGTGTGTGAACACATCTCTGCTGCCCAATGGCAACATCTGGACTCTGGGCCAACAGCCTGGCCTGGAACACGGCAGCCCAAGGTGGTTGGGGGGAGCCCCCAGGGAGACTCACCCAGAACTTGACGAGGAAGAAGGCGTCGGGGGGCCCGCGCTGGAAGAGCTCGCCCAGGCCGCCCTGCTTGTCGGGGAACTTGTCAAAGATCTGGCAGATGTCCACGGCCTCGAGGTGGGGGTCCCCGGGGCTGGGGCTGGACTGGCCGATATGCACGAACAGGTGCTTGTTGTACTGGGGGGCGGGGGGGCGGGGGTCTTAGAGGGGCCCCGGCGGACCAGCTCAGCACCTCAGCCACCCTCAAGCCCCCGGGCCTCAGTTTCCCCACAGGGGAAGGATGGGAGGGGCTGGGACCCTACCGTGTCCGGGTCCTGCTGGCGCTCCAGGAAGGCCGAGAACTCCAGCATCCAGAGCTTGGAACTGGCCACGCCGCGGCCCTGCCACGGGGAAGCGGCCGGCATGGAGGGAGACGGGGTGGGTCCCGCCGGAGACTCGAACCCTGCACGCGGAGGGAGACCGAACTGAGCTTACAGCCGGCCACAGCTGGCTCTAGAGCTCTGTGTGTGTCTGTGTGTATGTGTCTGTGTGTCTGTCTGTCATAGTGCTTGATCTCAGAGTCAACTAAATTTTTGCTGGTCCACGGGAGATGAAGAGTCTCCTGGACTTTCCCTGCCCAGGCTCGTGTCCACCTTTGGTCACTCAGACTCTCAGCCTCCTGAGTGGCCGTGATGACAGGTGTGAGCTACCGTGCCCGGCTAGCTCTCGGTTGGGACAGTCTGGCCACAGCACAAAGGAGGGGGGCAGATCACGGACAGCCCGTGTCAGTCCCTGGCAGCCTGGGGAACATTTGGGGCTCTGGGTAGAGAGACAGAGAACCCAAGGACAAGAAGAGAGATCTAGGAGCCGGGCGCCAGGGGCTCCCGCCTGTCATCCCAGCTCCCCAGGACACGGAGATCTGGGGATCACGGTTCAAAGCCAGCCCAGGCAGGAAAGTCCGTAAGACTCTGATCTCCAATGAACCACCAGAAAACCCTAAGTGGCGCTGTGGCTCAAGTGGTAGAGCGCCAGCCTTGAGCAAAGGAGCTAAGGGACAGCGCCCGGGCCCTGAGTTCAAGTCCCAGGACCAACAAAAGAAAAAGAGAAAGATTTGGGAGGCTCCCGCCTGTCATCCCAGCGACTCAGGAGGCTGAGATCTGAGGATCACGGTTCGAGGCCAGCCCGGGCAGGAAAGTCCAGGAGACTCTCATCTCCAGTGAACCACCAGGAAACTGGAATGTTCCAGAATATCACCTGTAGTCACCGACCTGGCCAGGGCGAGGATCCCAGCCTGGCCTACAGCACAGAAGGTGCTAGAAGAGAGGGTCAGCATGTCAGACCTACCTGGCAGGGTCAGCGGGGTCTGGACAGGGTAGGTGTGCGGGGAGAAAGGCTTCACACTGGGAGGGAGAGGAGATGGGCGTCAGCCGCGCAGCCAGCCCTGGGCCCGCCCGCAATCTGCCCCTGGCCATCTTGATCGGGCCTTGGCTTCCCTGGCAGCGTCTGCCGGCAAAACCCCAGCCAGGTGGGCGCCAGCCTCCGGCCTCTCTCCCTCCACCGTGCCCGTCGGTATCCCAGACAGGCTGGAGTTTGGGTGAATGGCACCCCCCCAAAAAAATGGAGATACCCCCAGACTCAAGAGTCCAAGCCCTAAGCGGGAGACCCCCCCCCCCATAAGGCTTACTGAGCCAGGCGCCGGTGGCTCACGCCTGTCATCCCAGCTCCTCAGGAGGCCGAGATCGGAGGATCGGGGTTCGAAGCCCGGGAGGCTCCTATCTCCAATAAATGACCCAGAAAAAGCCAGAAGGGGCGGCTGTGGCTCAAGTGGTAGAGCGCTCGCCTTGAGCACAAAGAGGCTCAGGGACAGCGCCCAGGCCCTGAGTTCGAGCCCCAGGACTGGCCAAAAAAAAAGGCTTAATGGCTACATTACTGTGACCCCAGGCCACCCTTGGGGACCGGGCTCTGTGGCTGAGCGCCATAGTTCCGGCAGCAAGTGGAAACGGAAACCAAGCCATCTACTCACTCATGGGAGGCTCCGGCTGGGCCTGGACACGCTCCTTGCCAAAACTGCAGGGGTAGAAGGTGGAGTCAGCTCAGCTATGCGTGCACGAGGTGGAGGGGGTCCCCCAAGTTGTAAAGCAGGGGGCGGGGAGCCCGCCCCAGCAGGTACAGGAGTCGGGACCCAGGCCCAGGTCCTCCTCTCCCAGAGACCCCCACCTGCACTGCTCAGCACGAAGACCCCCGACGCTTCCTACGGCCAGGAAACCATTCCAAGGACTCAGCAGGCCTGAGGCGCTGGGTTTTGACCCCCAGAACCACAGAGAGCCCAATGTAGTGCCAAGCCTTGGTGCTCCCGCCTGCCACCCCTGCCACTCAGGAGGCTGAGATCTGAGGATCGCGGTTCAAAGCCAGCCTGGGGCAGGAAAGTCCCTGAGACTCTGATCTCCCATGAACCACCAGAAAAGCGGACGTGGCGCTGTGGCTCAAGGGGTAGAGCGCCCGCCCTGAGCTGAAGAGCTGAGGGACAGCGCCCAGGCCCCGAGTTCAAGCCCCATGACTGACTAAAACAAAAACAAAAAGAAAACTGAAAAGTCTACTGGACTGCTCTACCGCTGCTAAGAGCCTCCACTTACCCCTGAGACCGCTGGGTACCCTGGCCCCCGGGCAAGCGCCATCTTGCTGGGAAAGGCGGTGGCGGAGACGATCTGGGCAGAGGACAATGCAGCCATGCTCTGTAAGGCCTTGTCCTTAGCTGCCTGGTCCTGGGGAGACGGGGCGGGGGGGGGGGGGGGGCACACACCTCAACCTCAGCCAAGGGTCCCGGCCAGGCTCCGGGGAGCCAGCGTGTGGCCCCAGACACGACCAGAGCTGGAGGTGTACACAGCGCTCGTCATTGTCCGGGGAGCAGGATGCCGGGGGCCCCCCACCCCCACGGAGCCACGTTCTCGACCCCGCCTCCCGCGGGAGCCAGGACACACCGCTGAACCCCACCCCAGTCAGGACCAACTCCTAAAAACATCCTCCGAGCTCGGTGACTGACGCCTGTAATCCCGGCTTCTTCAGGAGGACCACGGTTCAAAGCCAGCCCGGGCAGGAAAGCCCCTGAGACCCTTATCTCCAATTAAACACCAAAAACAAAGGAATGAAAAAGCCAAAGTGGAGCTATGGTAGAGAGCTAGCCTTGAGCACAAAAGCTCAAGGATGGAGCTCAAGCCGCGAGTTCAAGTCCCGGAACTGGCATTAAAAAAATGCAACAAAAAAAAAAAGAATAGGCCAGAGTTAGCTCGTTTACTGCACCCCCCCCATTCCCACCACCAACCCCTCCACCCCCCCTTCCCACCCCCCCACCCCCCCACCCCCTCCACCCCCCACTCCCCACTGCTGGTGCCAGGTCAACAGATCTAAGAGGCAAAGGTACACCTGGACGCGGTCCCTGAGCGCTGCGTCAGACGCTCGGCCTTCTGAACCACAGCTCCACTTCTGGCTTTTTTAGGTAGTGCATGGGAGAGAAGAGTCTCATGGACTTTCCTGCCCGGGCTGGCCTCGAACCAGGATCCTCAGGTCTCAGCCTCCTGAGTAGTAGCTGGCACTACAGGCGTATGCTACTGTGCCTGGCCTTGCTCCTTATACATCGTCCCGTCAGGGAGGCCTTGCGTCCCAGCCGCAGGAAAACGACCCAGCTGGCCTTGGGGTGGCAGAGGGAAGCGTGAGGACCTGAGAAACGCTGAATGCTGCGGTCTTGGTCCCCGGAGGAAAAGCCTCAGGTGACGGGCCTAAGATCTCAGAGCCGGCCACTTCCCCGGATCCCGAATCTAAACAAACGGCCGGGGCTCAGGAAACCGCGGCCAAGGCCCGGAGGAAGCCGGGAGGGTGTGGACAGCGCACAGAGCCTAGAAGCTGTCAGGCCCTCCGCCCTCACCCGCCCTCTGACCCCACTCCTACTTATGGATGAGGAGAGCCAAGCCCAGCAGCTCACGCCTGTAATCCCGGCTACTCAGGAGGAGGCTGAGACCTGAGGATCGAAGTTCCAAGCCAGCTCGCGCAGGGAAAGTCTGTGAGATTCCTTATCTCCAGTGAGCCACCAAAACAAAACAATAAGGCCCAAAGTGGCACTGCGTGGCTCAAGCGGTAGAGCGCTAGCCTTGAGCACAAAAGCTCAGGGACAAATTGGGCACCGGTGGCTCCCGCCTGTCATCCCAGCTCCTCAGGAGGCTGAGATCGGAGGATCGAGGTTCAAAGCCAGCCTGGGCACGAAAGGCCATGAGACTCTGATCTCCAAGGAACCACCAGAAAACCGGAAGTGGCGCCGTGGCTCAAGTGGTAGAGCGCCAGCCTTGAGCTGAAGAGCTGAGGGACGGCGTCCAGGCCCCAAGTTCAAGCCCCACGACCGGCACAATGGATAAAGAACTAACTCAGGGAAGTCTGTCCTCCACGCTGCCACCTGCCCGGTGCCTCCGGCGGCGGGGGACACAGGCATGTCCCAGGGAGGAGCCACAGCTGCCGCCAGGCCAGCTGGACAGGGGCAAAGGAGCGAGGGCCGGCCAGCCGGGCGTGGGGACAGCCGGGCGGGGGGCGGGGGCACGGCACGGGTGGGCGGGGCCCCGGCGGCCCAGAAGGCAGAGACACTCGGCCCGAGGTACCGATGCCAGGCGCGGGGACCTCGGGGCCAGATGGTGCCTTGGAGGTCACTCAGAGGTCATCAGAGGCTTTAGGCCCTCAGCTCTTCAGCTCAAGGCGGGCGCTCTACCGCTTGAGCCACGGCGCCACTTCCGGTTTTCTGGCAGTTCATTGGAGATCAGTCTCAGAGACTGACCTGGCTGGGCTGGCTTTGAACTGCGATCCTCGGAGCCCAGCTTGCTGTGGGTCTTTTTTTAAGTCTGTAAACGACTGATCTAGTTCCATGGTCCACACGGCTGGGCAGATTCTGGTCACCAGAATACCAGGGGTTCAGACCCCCCCCTCCCCGAGAGCCCTGACTCCCCGAGAGGACCCCCAACAGTACCCCACTGAGCAGCCTCAGGTCCGCAGAGGCCCTGCGAAGGTGGGTGGGTGCCGGGAACCCCAAGCCGGGTGCCTACAAAACTCCCAACTCCAGAGGCTGAGAGCTGAGGGTTCCCGGCTCCCATTGACCAGCAAAAACCTGGAGTGGAGCCGTGGCTCAAGTGGTAGAGCACCAGCCTTGAACAACAACAAAGCCAAGCAAAAAAAAAAAGCAAGAGGCCCTGAGTGCGAGTCCTAGTCCTGCCCACAAACCCAACAACCACAGGGGGAGGGGAGGCAGCGAGCAGGGGTGGGGAGACTTTCCCACTGGAACAGGAGCCCCAGCTTCTGGGAAGTGGGGGGCCCCCGCGCCGGCCTCTCACCTTGAGTTTGGCCTGGATCTCGCGAGCTTTGCGCCGGGCCAGCACCTGGATGTGGCTGGAGACCTGAGACGGGGGAACAGAGGACCAGAAGGCTCAGCCGTCCCCCCCGGACAGCCCGGGGGCCCCCCCACCCCGAGCCTGGACCTAACGTGAGAGGCGTCTGGCCTGACTCTTGCAATCTTAGCAAGCTGCTGAATCCCGATGAGATGTGTGTGTGTGTGGGGGGGGTAACCCAGGAAGATGGGGGGCTGCCCGGGAGCCCCACCCCCACCCCGAGCTTCTGGAACTGGGGTTCCCAACCCGGGGTGCACCCACCTGCTTCCGTGTGCGTGTCTTCCCCGTCCGCAGCTTGATGTAACGTGCGATCAGCTCATTCCGGCCTGCGGAGACACCCCGGCCTCGGTGGGGGGCGGGGGGCGGGGCAGGGCAGGAGAGCCCCCCACAGCCCCCCTGCCCCCCTGGGGGGGGACAAGGCGCGGTGCCCCTCTCCCCTCGATGTGCCACAAACGATCTCCTAGCATCCGAAAGGGGCTCCGGCCAGCGCCGGTGGCTCCCGCCTGTCATCCCAGCTCCTCGGGAGGCTGAGATCTGAGGATCGCGGTTCGAGGCCAGCCCGGGCAGGAAAGTGCCCGTGAGACTCTGATCTCCCAGGAACCTCCAGAAGAAGCCAGAAATGACCCCAGGAGGACGCTCTTAGGAGAGGAACACAAAGGCCCAACACCTAAGGACCTCCGTGGTACAGAATAGAATGCAGCCATCCAAATGCAAACAACAAGTGTTTTTCCTTGTAGTTGTTTTTGTTTTCTGTCTGTCTCCTGCGTGGGTTTCTCTGTCTCTGGGAGGACGAGGGGGGCAGAGAAATGGGGGAACAGAGGGTGGGCAAAGGCAGCCATGATCCTCACTGGACACCGTGTGGAGAATGACCTCTACCACTCGTGGGTGGGGACGGGAGGGAGCGAGGGAAGGGGGGGCAGGGTCCAAAACAATGCGCTCCCGGCCTGATTACAGAGCTGCCGGCCTCTGCTCCTCACCTTCATCTTCACAATTCTTAAAAATTAACAGTCAAAACAAAGCCAAAGTAAGCCAGGCTCACGCTGTCACCCCAGCGACTCAGGAGGCTGAGATCTGGAGGATCGCAGTTCAAAGCCAGCCTGGGCAGGAAAGGCCGTGAGACTCTGATCTCCAAGGAACCGCCAGAAAACTGGACGTGGCGCTGTGGCTCAAGGGGTAGAGCGCCCGCCTTGAACTGAAGAGCTGAGGGACAGTGCCCAGGCCCAGAGTTCAAGTCTTGGGACAAGACACAAATAAATAAATAAACAAAAAGCCAAGAGCCGCCCTGTCTGGCCCACAGCTCAGAATCGGGCGGGGGGGGGGGGGGGGGGGGGGGGGAGGGCAGCCTGCAGGCCACCTGGGCTGAAACCCAAGAGCTTGGCAGAGGCCAGGCTGGCCCCGGGCTGACCTTTCCACACTGCCAAGGCTGAATTAAGAGGCCACCTTCAAGAGGTGCCCTGGCTGACCGCTCCATGCTGGAGAAGGGGGGAGGGGAGACACTTGGGGGCTGTGGCGGGGAGTGGGCCTGAACCCAGAAACCCAGGCCCGGGAGCTAACGTGGTTTGGCTCACAGCCTTCCAGGGAAACGCATTCCCACAATGCTCTTCGGCAGGTCTGGGGATGTCTGACAGTCCTGCTCTGGGTCTAACTAGAGTTGCTCATGCTGCAGGTCCCTCCCTTCCTTCCCTGAGTGTGGTGGGGGGGAGGGGAGGGGGGTACTGGGGATTGAACTCAGGACTTTTACACTGACTTGGAGCCAAGATCCTCCGATCTCAGCCTCCTGAGGAGCCGGGATGGCAGGCGTGAGCACCCGTGCCCGGCTATAGAGAGACAGTTCCTCAACTTCCACAGGGTTTTCCCTCACACTGGACATGGGGCTGAGAGGCGTCTCTCCCAGAGGCCCGGGAGGCAAGATCTGTTCACGGCGTGGTGGGCATGGGGGATGTGGTTTCTAGTGCTTTCTCGGTGTCTGGACCCACGATGGCTGGCAGTCATGGGCTCACAGGTGGGGGGGAGGGGGAGGGCACTGGGAGGTGGCTGATGTCAGTTCTACCCCAGGGGAGGCCTGGGTGGGGCCGGGAAAGACCCCCCCACCCCCTCCAAAGCCCACCCCACGGGGGGGGGGGAGGCTGGGGCTGACCACAGACTGACCGCTGAAGGACCCCTGACCCGGGGTCCACAGAAATCCACTCCATCTTCTCCTAACGCCAGCTTCGCCCCCGCCACACATTCCCACCAACACCAACAGGAATTCTTTTCTGGTATGTGCCGGTCCTGGGATTTGAACTCAGGGCCTGGGCGCTGTCTGTCACTCAAGGCTGGTGGCTCTACCCCGCAAGCCACGCGGCTCCTTCCATTTCCCACTGGTTTCTGAGAGATGGGAGTCTCACAGACTTTCCTGCCCGGGCTGGCCTTGAACCACGGTCCTCAGCTCCAAGGCTATAAAGGGGGCATGGAAGGTTCTGGAAGTCCATGGGTGGAGGGGAGGGTCTTCCTCTCTGCCTTCCTGGGACACAGGCGTGGAGATGGCGGCAGGGGGGAGTAGTGGCAGAGACCATGACCAGAGAGGCGCAACCATGGGTCCCCCCCAAAAAACCAGGGCAGGGAGGGAAGGGTGACCCCGGCCAGGGCCAGCGCGGGCCCCGGGCCGCGCACGGTGACAGTGCAGAAAAACAAGGAGGCAGAGGAGAGGAGGCCCGGCCCGAGGTGAGCGGCGGCGCGGCGTGGCCCAGCCAGCCACGCAGACGGCGGCCTCAGAAATAACAGGTGCTAATCTGCGCCGTGCGTGACTCCCGGCCATCTGCATGTCTGTCTGGCCGCGGCCAGCGGCTCTGCCCTGTCACCTGGGCCGGGCCCAGCTCCCGTCCCCGTCCTGAAGACCCGAAGGCCAGGGCGAGAGCCGGGCTCAGCCCGCGGCTGTGGGCACTGGACAGGCCCTGCAGAACCGCCCTCCCTCCCCACACCCCTCCCCACCCTCCCTCCCCACACCCCTCCCGCCCCACCCCCCTCCCGCCAGCTGGCTGCAGACCTCACCCAGGGGCCCGGGCTCTTCAGCACCCACCTCCCAGCTCAAGGGTCCCCCTCACTATGTAAGAACACCCTACCACACACCTGCAGCTCAGTGTCACACATGCATCCTACATCACACACACACACACACACACACACGCATGCAACGTATACCACACATACCACACACCGTACCTACCTACATCCTACACCACACACACATGCATGCAATGTGTACCACACACACCGTACCTACCTACATCACCCACCACACACACACATCATACACCACACACACATCATACACCATAGATACAATAACATCAAACACCACACACACATAGATCACACATCAACACATACACACATGTACCATACACCACAGATACATCAAACACCACACACACACATAGATCATACATCACACACACATGCACCATACACCATAGATACATCAAACACCACACATACACACATAGATCATACATCACACACACGCACCATACACCATACACAGACACACCATACACACAGAGCATACATCATACACCACACGCACATGCACCATAGACCATATACATGCAGCATTTACATATAAGCCTACATCATACACACATAGCAGACCATAGATCATACATGCATGTCACGCACACATGCACCATACCTGCACAGATGTATACCACACACATACACCAGAATACACCATACACATACATGCATACGACACACACCACACACACGTATACATCATACACCACACATGCATACACCATACACCACACACACACATGCATGCATCACACACCAAGCATATCACACACACGTCACACATACACGCATCACATGCCACACAGACACACATGCATCATGCATGCACCGCTGTCCTCAAGCAAATGCTCCCTTACAGAGCAGCCGTTAGAACCGGAAGTGCGGGGAAAAGGAACAAGCAGGGGTCAGGGATGGGGGCGCTGACCCGGAAGTGGTTCCCCGACCCGTCACCAACCCAGGGAAGGCGGGCAGCCTGCAGGCGCTCTGCGGACAGACAACCCCATGCCAACACGGCCGGCGGGCTGGCTGTCCCCTCCTTCCATCCCCGGTGACTCGGGAGCCCGGGCTGGCCGGTGGCACCTGCCCCCCACGCGTGGCCTCCGGGGTGGGCGAGGCGGGCAGGCCCTTACCGTACATCTTGCCTTCGTCCGACAGGATGATCTTGCGGCGGCCGCAGGGCGGGTAGATGCCCAGCGCCTCCTGGAAGCTCTGCTCGATGTCCGGGCTCCACACACCCTCGGCGTCATGGTCGACGGCCTTGTCCAGCGCCTGGCTGCCCCCAGAGACGCCGCTGCCCTCGGGGGAGATGGGGCAGGTCCACTCGGGGGAGGTAATGGTGCCGGCCGTGCCCGCCAAGGCTCCGCGCGGAGGGGCGCCCGTGGGACCTGCCAGGGCCGAGAGGGCGGCGCGTGAGGACATGGGGGGGCTGGGAAGCGGGGAGACCCATCTCTGCAACAACCCAGCCAGGCCCTCGCTGGTGGCTCCCGCCTGTCATCCCAGCTACTCAGGAGGCTGAGATGTGAGGATCGTGGTTCAAGGCCAGCCCGGGCAGGAAAGTCTGTGAGACTCTGATCTCCAATACAACCACCAGAAAACCGGAAGTGACACTGTATCTCAAGTGGTAGAGCGCCAGCCTTGATCTGAAGAGCTGAGGGACAGCACCCAGGCCCAGAGTTCAAGCCCCATGACCAACAACAACAACAAAAATTAAATTTACATTTAAAAAAGTATATACCCCACAACGAGACTCCTGGGTCTTTGGAGATGAAGTTCCATGCACGTGTCTGTTGGAGCTGGCTTTGAACCTCAATCCTCCAGACCTCAGCCTCCTGGGTGGCTGGGATGACAGGCGGGAGCCACTGATCCAGCTCAGGCTCTCTATAGTGCTGGCTGTAGCCTGGGCTATGTACTTAAAAGCCCGACAAAATGCGGGGGAGATCAGGCTTCTAGATACAGAAAGGGGGGTTCCCCAACCCCTTGATCCGATGCAACCCCCCCCACACACACACAGAAGCCGCGGTCTCCCACCCCTCTCTCCCCCACCCAGAAATGCCCCCCGCCCCCCCACACAGCCTCAGATGTCAGCGGACCCAGGGAACCGGAGCCAGCTCGGGTCAGGCCGCCCCATGAGGGAGGCTTTTTTGAGGGCTGGCGCTCTGTGTCGCCCGGGGGGAAATCAGGGCAGCGGGTCACCCCAGGCCCCGGACCACAGATCCATTACCGAAATAAATGAGTCACTGGGCTGGTCCACTGCTCTGCGGGGGCGGCCGCCCACCCTCGAATGCCCACTGGCCCGGCCCGGGCCTGGCCTGCCCCGGGGCCCCGTGGCCTACGCCGCCACGCCGGAGATGATGAAGGCTCCTCCAACTCCTCCCCCCTCCGTGACCCCCGACGGCTGCCAGGGGGGAGGGGCTGGCCAGGGACCCGCGGGCCCCGGGACAGAGGAATAAAAATAATCCCTGACCTGGCTCTCGGGCCTTGGCTCTCACCCCAGCCGCCCCCCTTCCCCCAGGCCAGCGGATGGCCTGCCCAGGGCAACCAAGCCCAGAGAATGCGCCGCTCCATCGCCAGGGTACTGGGAACTCAGTCCTCAGCACCCACCATCAGGATTGCTTCACAAAAGGGATCTGGGTCCAGAGATGGCCAGGGGAGGGGGCAGAGCGGACCCCTGGGGGGGAATCGGTGGGGAAATCGAGACTCAGGGAGGGCAGATCATCGCCCTAAGAGTGATAAGGAGAAATCTCAGCGCCCCTGATATGGGGCGGGGGGGGGGTCCCACATACCCAAAGCCTGTTCCAGCAACGGGCTTCACACACACACACACACACACACACACACACACACACACACACCCCACACACCTCAACCCAGCGGGGCTTTGGCCCAGGATTATAGTCGTGAGATACCTGCACCTCACTTTACACTACTTGTGAAAGGAAACAAAGAAACTCCTCAACAAGCTGAGTGAGGTGGCTCACGCCTGTTAAGCCCAGCTACTCCGGAGGCCAACATCTGGAGGACCAGGGTTGGGGAGAAAAGTTTGCTAGGCCAGGCTTGGTGGCTCAGGGCTGTCATCCTAGCTACTCAGGAGGCTGAGATCTGAGGATCACGGTTCGCAGCCAGCCTGGGGAAGGAGAGTCCATGAGACTCTTACGTCCAATGAACCACCGAAACGCTAGAAGAAACTGCAGCTCAAATGGTAGAGCGCTAGCCATGAGCTCAAAAGCTCAGGGGTAGCGCCTTGAACTGGCAAAAAAAAACAAAACAGCTGAACTGGAGGCATGGCTCAAGGGAAGAGTGCCAGCCATGAGCAAGAAAGCCATGGGAGAGCTGGGGATGACCTAAATTTAAGCGCTGGTACCAGCACAAAATAAGTGCTCGCTCGGGCACAGATGCACGTGAATGCGTGCACGCACGCACACACACATGCACGCAAGCACTGTCCTTCTATTATCGATTCGATTTTCTGTAATCAGCATCTACAGCTCACTCGCTTACAAGGCAGAAAGAAAAGAAAAAAGTAAGATCTTAGAGTGCTTTTCCTACCAAAGGTAAAGCCCGGAGTTCAAATCACAGCACTGCTAACAACGAACAAATAAATCAGTAGTTAGGGTGTAGAACCAGCCTGGTAATTGCTGGGCGTAATCTCGGCCCACAGGAGGCCGAGGCTGGAGGCTGGTGAGTCCTTTCGAAGCGAGGCCAGCTTGATCTACCACCTACACCCAGCCTCCAGAAAAGAAAAATAAAGGGGGAAGTGGAAAACAAAAACCTCAAGTGCTGAGATTAAGACTCCTTCTCCCAATTCACCGCGGTACTTTAAATTGGGTGTGGTAGCAACCCCCTGTAATCTGCACCCTGCGAGGATGGAGAGTTCCAGGCCAACCTGGACAAAAGCCTTTCACAAAACCAAACACTCTTGGGAGGCCTAGAGGAAAACTTAACAGAGGGGAGGAGGAGGAACTGCTGGGGAAAGCCGGGCAGGGGGTGGCGGGGGTGAGGGGGGCAGGGGACCCCCCGCGGGCACATGGGTGGGAAGATACCCGAGCCTCTCCAGCTCTCCTTTGTGGGTGGCGGGAGTCCCCAGAGATGAGGAGGGAGGGGTGGACAGAGAACTGGGCTGGGCTGGGCTGGACCAGGTAACTCAGCCAGGAAAAACTGACCCCGAGTGACCTGAAGGTTAGGGTTGGGCTAGTGATGGCTGCAAACATAAAAACAACAACACCCTAAGACCTAGGCTGGGGTGGGTTGTTGGCCCAGAGGTAGAGAGCACTTGCCTGGTGTGCCTGAGGCCCTGGGTTCAATTCTCAGCCCTGCAGAGGTTTTTATGGAGCCCTTTCCTGCGCTCCCCACCCCAGCCGGGAAGCAGCCCTCCTCTCTTAGCTTTGATCACTCTGACCCTCCACCCCCCTTCCACAACCCCCCCCCCCAAGAAAGCCAGAAGTGGAGCTGTGGCTTAAGTGGAGAGCGCTAGCCTTCAGCTCAAAGGCCTAGAGTTCAAGCCCAAGACCAGCAAAAAAGAAGACCATCCCTTACCTGTGGTAGATGTTAACTCCTTCAACTACCCTTCAACTTCTAAGCAGTAAGGCTCCACCTCCACCCCGGGCTCCACCCCCAGCCTTGAGATTGGCTCACCCCATCCCCAGGCTCCACCCCTAGCCTTACGATTGGCTCACCTCCATCCCCAGACCCCACCCCTAGCCTTGAGATGGCTCACCCCTATCCCCAGGCTCCACCCCCCAGCCTTGAGATTGGCTCACCCCCATCCCCAGGCTCCACCCCTAGCCTTACGATTGGCTCACCTCCATCCCCAGACCCCACCCCTAGCCTTGAGATGGCTCACCCCTATCCCCAGGCTCCACCCCCCAGCCTTGAGATTGGCTCACCCCCATCCCCAGGCTCCACCCCCCAGCCTTGAGATTGGCTCATCCCCATCCCCAGGCCCCAACCCTAGCCTTGAGATTGGCTCACCCCACCCCCCAGGCTCCACCCCCATCCCCAGGCTCCACCTCCACTCTTGAGATTGGCTTATCCACACCCCCAGGCTCCACCCTTAGCCTTGAGATTGGCTCACCCTCATCCCCAGGCCCCACCCCCATCCCCAGGCTCCACCTCCACCCTTGAGATCGGCTTACCCACATCCTCAGGCTCCGCCCCAGCCCTGGGATTGACTCCCCCCCCCTACACACACACACACACACACACACACCCATCATTACAAGGCGAGATTGTCCAGGGGGCTGGGGTAGGCAGGGCCCTGCAGTAATGACACAAAAGGACCCTGAAGCTGGGCGCTGGTGGCTCCCGCCTGTCATCCCAGCTGCTCAGGAGGCTGAGATCTGAGGAGCGTGTTTAGAAGCCAGCCTGGGCAGGAAAGTGCATGGGATTCCTATCTCCAATAAACTACTCAAGAAAAAAAAAGTCAGAAGTGGCGCCGTGGCTCAAGCGGAAGAGCTCTGGCCTTGAGCTAAAGAAGCTCAGGGACAGCGCCCAGGCCCAGAGTTCAAGCCCCAGGACTCCCCCCACCCCCCAAAAAAGGCATGAAAGTAATGAGAAGCCAAGAAAAGAATAGTAAGACTTCACTTAAAGTTCCCAGGGAAACTGACTGAGATCTTTCTGTTTTGCCAGCCATGGGGCTTGAACTCAAGGCCTGGGTGCTGTCCCTGAGCTTTTTGCTCAAGGCTGATGCTCTACCACTTACTTGAGCCAAAGCGCCACTCCCAGCTTTCTGTGTGTGTGTGGTGCTGAGGAATGGAACCCAGGGCTTCATGCATGCTAGGCAAACACTCTACCACTGAGCCACCTTCCCGGCCAGGAAACAGATGTCAGGTAAGCGTGGTGGGACCCCACAGGGGCTCCCCGAGGCGTGGGGCTGGCCTGCCCTGGGATGCACAGCTGTCTGACTGCAGAACTCCAAGTCTGTGCCCACAGTGGGGGTCTGTGCAGCCCAGACCCCTGCATGCGGGCCTGGGCTGCACAAACCCGAGCCCCAGGGCTGACAGAAGCGCGCACAGCCCCTCCCGGACCCAGGAGACGCCCCCTACCTCCCCCCCATCAGCCCAGAAAGCGGGGCCATCCGGTTTGCAAACAAGATGTGCATGCGAGCGAGCGAGCAAGCGGCAGGAACTCAGTTGGGGACAGAGGCTCTTGTTTTTCTGGGTGGGGACAGTTCAGCCTGACCCTGGCAGGCCAGGAGCAGCAGGGCCAGCTGGGGGGGGGGGGGCGGGGGAGGGGGCGCGCGGGAGAGAAAATTCCAGAACACCAAGACAGGTGTTGGTTGAGCCAGGGCCCTGGAACAGGTGTTCATGCTGAGCATGGCTCCAACTTGTTTCTCCAGATCTTTCTCTCTCTGCATCTCACAGTGAACTTCAACCCGGCCTCTGTCTGTCGCTCTCCCTCCCTCCTTCCCGCTTCCCCTCCCCTCTCTCAATCTGTCTCTCTCCCCCCTCCTCACCCCTGCTCCAGCGTGTACCCTGGAAAGAAGGCCAGGGACCAGAACATCTACCCGTTCACCCAAGTTCCTCATACTCATCTGCTTTGGGAGATGTTTTTTTTTCTCCTTACATGCATTTCCTCCAGATATCTGCCAAGAACACAACCTGACAAAGAGCTGGTAGCCAGGCTATTGCATAAAATGTTCAAGAAAATAAAACCCCAAAGGTGGAGATGCCTCCCTCCTCTCCCTACGCCCCCTCCTCACACTGGTTAAAAGATATGACAGACATTTCACCAAGGAAATGACCCACGCGGCAAATAAAGCCATGGGAAGGTTCCGGGCACAGGTGGGTGGCTCCCGCCTGTCATCCCAGCTACTCAGGAGGCTGAGATCCAAGGATGGCCATGGTGCCAGCGCCCCACTCACGAGAGGGGGGCTGTGGCTAAGGACAGAGCCCAGGGCAGCGGGGGGCCCGGCCTTGAGCTCTGAGAGGACCCCGCCCCCTTGCATAAGAAGCAAGGCAATAATTGCCCGAACTCCCCCTACGCTGGGAGGTGACCCGGGTCGGGAAGGAGAATCTCCCAGGATGCACCGCTCCCCAGATGCCAACGCGCTGGCAGACACAGCCCTGCTACTGCAAGTCAAGTTTCGGAATGCCAGGCTGGGTGGTGGGCGTGGCCGGGGCGTGGCCGGGGTCCTGACGTCACCTGTCACTGTAATTAGGTTTCCACAGTGCCTGGCCAGCCCCTCCCTCACCCACATCCCAGCTGGTCCAGTTTTAAAGGGCGATCTAGGTCGCTCATTTCACACACACACACACTCACACTCAATGAAGAAGGCTTAGGACTAAACAATACCACAGGCCAAACAGACTTAACACACATCCACAGATCATTTCAAATGTCACCCAGCAGCTACACACATTCTTCTGGGCAAAGTAGATGGTATCCTAGGGACAGAGAGCAAATCTGCGCAAAGAAAGTACAAGGAAGTCGATCTGGGTGTCGGTGGCTCACGCCTGATACCCTAGCTACTCGGGAGGAGGCTGAAATCTGAGGATCGAGGTTCGAAGCCAGCCCAGGCAGGAAAGGTCAAGAGACTCTTCGATTATCCAAGACAAAGCCGGAAGTGGGGCTGTGGCTTAAGTGGTCGAACGTTGGCTTTGAGCACAAAAACTCCAAGACGGAGCCCAGGCACTGAGTTCAAGTCCAGGACCAGCACACACTGCGCACACACACACACACACACACACACACACACACACACACACACACACACACGCCAAGAGGATTGTGGGTATAACTGCTTAGTGGTACCAAGTTGGCTTGGACCCCGCCCCTCATTCTGCCCAATCAGTCAAACATATACAGTGAGACTCCACTGTGATAGGTTGATCAAAAGCCCCGTGCTGAGCTGACCCCAACGCCCACCTCACCCCTGCAGGAAGGTATCCGTCACCTCCACCCAACCCACTCTCCGATCTAGGGGGCGGGGGGCGCCTCTCCAGACCCCAAGAGGCTGATCCCGGGATTTGAATCCGGTGACCAGGCCTGTCTCTGGGGGTGAGGCTGGGCCTCCAGGCAGGAATCTCCCATCCTGCACTGACGGAGGTTGAGGAAATCTACCCGGCATCCCCACCTCGCATCCCCACCTCTCCATCGGATGACAGGGCTCAGTGCCAAGATGGAGGGCAGCCAGGGAGGATGGACACTACCTTTCATCCTGGCAGGCCCGGCCCCAAAGCCATCCCGGGAACTCCAGGGGAAGGGAAGGCCCGGCTCTGGCCCCGTGTGGGCCTCCGAACTCCCCCAGCCAAATCCTCAGGCCGGCCAGCTCTGGTCTCGAGGCCTGCCCCGGGGTCCACCCCTCCCGTGTGCCCGGCGGATATGCCGCCCGCCCCCACCAGGGTTACCGTCCTGGGCACAGCGCCCGCTTCCGGTCCTGGTGACTTCTCCCAAGTCTATTGTTCCTGCAGAGCTCGGAGGGACCCCACCCAAGGAGGGACCTGGGCCAGCGGTGGCCAAGGGGCAGGGAGGCCGGCCGGAGCTCCTGCCCGCCCAGAGGGGCCCCAGGGCTCACGCCTGTCACCCTAGCATCGTCAGGAGGCTGAGACAGGAGGATTGTGGTTCAAAGTCAGCCCAGGCAGGAGAGAGTCTGTGAGACTCGTGATTTTTCAAGTGAGCCACCAAACACACACACACACACACACACACACACACACACACACACACACACACACACACACGCAGGAGCTGTGGCTAGCCTTGAGGAGAGTTTTAAGCAGGAAAGAGGAGGAACCTCTCTTGGTGTGGAATCCTGGTGGGAAAGTTCCCACCACACAGGTGTGATTAGAACTGACCCCAATAACTGGGCACCGGTGGCTCACGCCTGTCACCCTAGCTACTCAGGAGGCTGAGATCTGGAGGATCGCAGTTCAAAGCCAGTCTGCACAGGAAAGTCCGTGAGACTCTGATCTCCAATAAACCACTCAGAAAACCAGAAATGGCGCCATGGCTCCAGGGGTAGAACGGCCACCTTGAACTTGAAGAGCTGAGGGACAGCGCCCAGGCTCCGAGTTCAAGCCCCATGACCGACCAAAAATAAAAAAAAAGAATTCCCCCAAGGATTCAGATGGAGAAACTGAGGCAAAGCAAAAAAAAAAATAAAGTGGGGCATTTCAAAATAAGTCAAGGGCAGGTTGGAATTGGAACCCAGAGCTCTGCCAGGACAAAGCCCTGCCCGGCCCTGCCCGGCCCGGCCTCCCCCGGCCCCTGGTCAGGTGACCTCCACGGAGGAGGCTGGCAGCAGCTGCTCAGCTCGGATTTCAGAGCTCTAAACCCAGCGGTGGCTCGGGTCCTAATTCTCTCCCGAGCAAGTGGCAGTGTGTAAGGAGCCAGGACGGAGGGGCAGGGAGAGGACACCCCTCACCCCCACCCCAAGCCCGGGACTAACACCGGGCCTGGGTGGCAGGGAAGGCAAGGCCCAGGGCCAGGTTCAAGGCCTTCCTTCCCCTGCAAGCAGAAAGAGGAATGACTAACACAACAGTCGCCGGCCCAGGAGCCAAAGGGAGATTGTGACACCCCATCCCCGGGCATCTGAACCCCAGGAAAGCTGGTGACGTGGCCAGGTGATGCTGTGAGATGGAGAGAGACGGATGGACGGACAGACATGAGGACAGAGACACAGAGGGAGGGGGAGGGGAACAGACCAGAGGGAAAGCTAGAAGGATGAGGTTGAAGTTGAAGGCACCCCCCCCCCCCCCCCCCCCCCCCGCCACACACACACCCCGGGCGCCATTTCAGACTGCATTTCTGTGGCTGAGCACTGGTGCGCTCTCCTGTAATCCTTACTCCGGAGGCTGAGACTTGAGGACAGAAGAGTTGGGAAAGTGGAGGACAGAAAAGTCCACAAGACCCTTCAACTCCAGTTAACCAGCAAAAAAACAACGCCAGCCTCGAGCAGAAAAGCTCAGGGACAGCGCCCAGGCCCTGAGTTCAAGCCCCAGGACCAACAACAACAGCAAAAATCACCTAACGAGAGTAGGGACAGGAAGGGGAAGAAAGGAGAATGAAGGAAGGGGTGATATTACCCAAGAAGCACTGTGCTCAGAACCTGACATGGAATTGCGACCTCTTTGTACAACTCCTTAATAATAATTTCTAAAAAGCTGGAAGTGGCGGTTGTGGCTCAAGTGGTAGAGCACCAGGCTTGAGTCAAATAAAAAAGCCAAGTAAGAGCACAAGGCCCTGAGTTCAAGCCTCAGTAGTGGCACAAAACAAACAAAAATCAGCCAGAGATGCTGTGTGCCCTCCCCTCTGTCCTGCCACCTCTCTGAGCCCCAAACCCGTAGCTGGGGGGTAGATGGAGGTGGCTGCGGAGGCGGGGTGCAGGGGAGTTCTGGCAGCCCCCCCCCCAGGACAGGTCGCAGACACAAAGGGAAGAGCATGAATTCCACCTGTCACGCCATCCTAAGCGAGTTTAACATCGGGGTGCGCAACTGCGCTGGGCAAGGCAGAAATGAGACCTCTCAGGACAAAGGGAACCCCCCCACCCCCCGCTGGCACCACCGGGGTCTCCTGCCCGCCCCAATCCGGTTTGCTGATCACACATGAGGAGCAGGCAAAGGTTCTCACACGGTGTCTGGAGACACACGGACTCAAAACCCGCTGGCGCTGGACAGCACCCAGCCCCAATCCCCAGCTGTGAGGAAAACATAGCAGCCAGGCACAGTGTCTCCTGCCCGCCTGTAAGTCCTGCTCCTGGAGGAGCAGAAATCAAGAGGATCGTGGTTTGAGGCGCGACCCCATCTCAAGTAATAAAACCGGTCACGGAGACACATCCCTGTCACCGGGCCAGGCCGTGAAGTGTGAATAGGGGGTCGGAAGCCCCAGCCCTGGCAGCTCCATGGTCCCGCGGTGATGCAGGAAGAGCTGATGCCCACGCTGCAGGCCCCTCCCCTCCTGTGGGGCAGGGTCACCCGGTCACTCAAGGGCTGCAAGGGACAGATCTCACCGCAGGGGAGACTGAGGCGCAAGAGAGTCCCAGCCCGCCCTCTGCTGCGGGCAAGACCGAGGAAAGGAAGAGGGAGGAGGTGGGGAGGGGAAGAAGGAAGAGGGAAGAGGGGAGGAGGAGGAGGAGGAGGGGAGAGAGGAGGAAGAGGAAGGAGAAGAGGAGGAGGAGGAGGAAGAGGAGGAGGAGGAAAGGAGGAGGCGGAGGAAGAAGAGGAGAGGAGGGGGAGAAGAAGAGGGGGAGAGGAGGAGGAGGAACAGGAGGAGAAGGAGGAAGAGGAGCAGGAGGAGGGGAGGAGGTGGAGGAGAGGAGGGGGGGGCAGGAGGAGGAGGACAAGCAGGAAGAGAAGGGAGGGAAGAGGAGAAAAAATACTTTTAGGGCTGAGAGCGCACCAGTGCTCCGTCGGTGGGTTCGAGACAGTGCACCCACCTTTTCTGCCAGTCCTAGGGCTTGAATCCAGGCCCCCCCCCCCCCCCCCCGCTGCCTCTGGGTCGGTTTGGGGTTGTTTTGCCCTAGGCTGGTGCTCTACTACTTCAGCCCCAGCCCCATGGCTGGCTTTTGCATGCTTTATTCGAGGTAAGAGCCTTAAGAACTTTCCTGCCCAGGCTGGCTTCGAACCTCCAATCCCCGGATCCCGCGGCCTCGGGAAGGCTCGGATGACAGGTGTGCGGCGAGGGCGTCTTCAGAGAGAGGGGGGTTCTTCCCCTTGACTGCTGGGGTCCCCTCCTGACAGCTGAACCCGGCCTCCCGACGGGGAGGAGGATGCCAGTCTGAGGCCGAGGGCGACACACCACACAGACCGCCCCGGCCAACGAAAACAAAACCACCACCGCAAAACCACCCCGGGGGCATGGCTGAAGTGGGTGAGCACCTGCCGGCAGCCCCGGGGCCCAGCAGAGACCCCAGTCCCACCAGTCAGACCAGTCAGATACCATCAACGCCCCGGGCCATTTCCATTTCAAAGAACCTCCTGCGGTCTCCCCCCCCCCATCCTCCTGCGGGTAGGGTGTCTGTCTCTGCTTCTCTGTCTCTGTCTGTCTGTCTCTCAGTCTCTCTCTGTCCGTTTCAGTCTGTCTCCCTGTCTCTCTCTCTCCTCTGCCTCTGTCTCTCGGTGTCTCTCAGTCTCTGTCTCTCTGTCTGTGTCTCTCTCTTTGTCTCTGTCTGTCTGTCTGTCTCTCTCTCTCTCTGTCTCTCCCCCTCCCCTCCCCGGGGTGGGAGACCCTCCCGCATCCTTCCCCGAACGCGGCCGGGCCGGCGCAGGGTCCCCGCACCTCCTCCGCCCCGCGCGGGGCCCCGCGTCCGGTCGGGGGCCCTTCCCGCCGGCGGTGCGCGCGCGCTCGGGTCCACACGTGCGGGACACACCGGTCCGTGCGCTCGGGCCGGGCCGCGGCGGAGCCCCGAGACGGCCGGGCGGGAAGGGGGCGTGGGCGCCGCCACCCCGGGCCCGGGCTCCCCGCAGGCCGCGCGCCCCCCGCCACCCCGGGCCCCCGCAGGCTCGCGCACCCCGCCAACCCGGGCCCGCGCACCCCGCCAACCCGGGCCCGCGCACCCCGCCACCCCGGGCCCCCGCAGGCCGCGCGCCCCCCCGCCACCCCGGGCCCCCGCCACCCCGGGCCCCCCGCCACCCCGGGCCCCCGCAGGCCCGCGCCCCCCCGCCACCCCGGGCCCCCGCCACCCCGGGCCCCCGCCACCCCGGGCCCCCGCCACCCCGGGCCCCCCCGCCACCCCGGGCCCCCGCCACCCCGGGCCCCCGCCACCCCGGGCCCCCCGCCACCCCGGGCCCCCGCCATCCCGGGCCCCCGCCACCCCGGGCCCCCGCAGGCCCGCGCCCCGCGCCACCCCGGGCCCCCCGCAGGCCCGCGCCCCGCGCCACCCCGGGCCCCCGCAGGCCCGCGCCCCGCGCCACCCCGGGCCCCCCGCAGGCCCGCGCCCCGCGCCACCCCCGGGCCCCCCGCCACCCCGGGCCCCCGCAGGCCCGCGCCCCGCGCCACCCCGGGCCCCCCGCCACCCCGGGCCCCCCGCCACCCCGGGCCCGCGCCCCCCAGACTCACCGGGGCGGGGCGCGCAGGGACGGGTCCCGCACGGGACGGCCGGCCTGGCGCGGCGCGGAGCCCGGGGAGCGCGGCGAGCGGCGCCCCGCACCTCCGGATCCCGGGACCGACCGACCCGGCGGGCGGCGCGGGGGCGCGGCGGGGCGGGTCTCACCTGGCGGGGCGCGGGGCCCTCGGCACCCCGGGCCGGGAGCGGGCGGGGAGCCGGCCGGAATGTGCGGAATGAGGGCTGGAATGAGATGCGCGCAGCTGGGGCGGAGGGCGGGAGCCGCGGGACCCGGGAGCGCCGGCCGGGTCACCCGCACCTCGGGGAGGGCCGGCGTCGGGGCGGGGCGGGGCCTCCGCGGGGCGGGGCCTCCGCGGGGCGGGGCCTCGGGCGGGGCGGGGCCGCAAGTACCGACGTCGGCTCCTGAGTGGGCGCGCCCTTGTCTAGCCTGTCCGAGACGTGGGTGGGGCCCGTCTATGAAATGGGCGTGGCCTTGTCTAGTCTGTCTAAAAGGGGTGGGGCATTCTGTGGAATGGGCGTGGACATCACAGGCGTGGTAGTCCGGTGGGCGTGGCCTTGTCCAGCCTCTCCCAGAGGTGGGACGTTCTGTGGAATGGGCGTGGTCTCGTCGGAGAGGCTGTGGGCGGGGCCGTCGGGGACTGGGCGGGGCGCGCAGGCCGCTCCCTTCGCCCCCGCCCGCCCCCTGTGACCCGGACGCGGGGCCCTCGGCGCCCCCACGCTCGGCGCACACGCGCCGTGCCTCGGCTCGTCCCGCCCCCCACGTCCCGCCGGTTCCTCGCGGCCCGGGGCCCCCGCGCGTCTCCGGCGGGGGTCAGGGGCGGACGCACAGGAAGGGCCGCTCCCTTCCCCGGGGCTGGCTCCGGGGGCTCCGGGAAGCAGGCGCTCCGGCCCGGGCCGCACCCCGGGACCCGGCCGGTGCCAGGCCCGGACCCCGGGACCCCGACCACACCCCGGGACGGGACCCCGACCAGACCCCGACCACACCCCGGGACGGGACCCCGACCACACCCCGACCACACCCCGGGACGGGACCCCGACCAGACCCCGGGACCGGGACCCCGACCACACCCCGGGACCGGGACCCCGGGACGGGACCCCGACCACACCCCGACCACACCCCGGGACGGGACCCCGACCACACCCCGACCACACCCCGGGACGGGACCCCGACCACACCCCGGGACGGGACCCCGGGACGGGACCCCGACCAGACCCCGGGACGGGACCCCGACCACACCCCGACCGGACCCCGGGACGGGACCCCGACCAGACCCCGGGACGGGACCCCGACCACACCCCGACCGGACCCCGGGACGGGACCCCGACCACACCCCGGGACGGGACCCCGGGACGGGACCCCGACCACACCCCGGGACGGGACCCCGACCACACCCCGACCGGACCCCGGGACGGGACCCCGACCAGACCCCGGGACGGGACCCCGACCACACCCCGACCAGACCCCGGGGACGGGACCCCGGGACGGGACCCCGACCAGACCCCGGGACGGGACCCCGACCACACCCCGGGACGGGACCCCGACCACACCCCGACCGGACCCCGACCACACCCCGACCGGACCCCGACCACACCCCGACCGGACCCCGGGGACGGGACCCCGACCACACCCCGGGACGGGACCCCGGGGCCGGGCCTCTCGCCTCGCGGGGCCGGGGCGGAGTGCGGGAATAAATAGCAACATGACCGGGCCGGCATTTAAAGCCCGGGCTCCACGCCGGGCGCGTCCCGGAGGTGACAGGCCGGGCCGGGCCGGGGGCGCCGGGAGAGGCAGGTGCCGAAGCCCGCGCCCCCACCGGCCCCCTGGGTCCCGGGGAGCCCTGGCCCCCGCGGTCCTGGCGCGCGTCCTCCCACGCGCGGGCCCCCGGGCGCGGGACCGGCCGCAGCCCGCGCTCCGCCCGCCTCTAGGTGGGGCCGGGAAGCCCCGGGGCCGCAGCGCCGGGGAAGCTCGTTTGGAGGCGGGTCTTGTGGGTGTGATCTCCTCCAGGCTCACAGGAAAGTCTTCTTTCTTCCTTTCTCTTTCCTTTCGGCCGCGGGGGCTGAAGCTGGGGCCTGGGCGCGCCCTCGAGCTCCGAGCCCCAGGCGGGGCTCCACCTCTGCCAGCCGCAGCTCCACGCGTGGTTTTCCGGGGATTCACTGGAGATCAGAGTCTCCCGGGCTTTCCTGCCCTGGCTGGCTTCGAACTGCGATCTTCAGATCGCAGCTTCCTGAGTGGCTAGCATTATAGGTGTGAGCCACCAGCACCTGGCTTTAAATAACAACAGAAAGCCACGCTTACAGTAGAATGTGACAGAGGCCCGGTGAAGGACGGACCCACTCCAAGGCGGCGCGTTTGTCTATAAATCAGATTTTATTTCCATCGCATACAAAAGGTATAAATAATGATTTCTGCAGAACCAATCACCTGTCTCTGCAAGCACAACGTCGGGGAACTGGGGTGACTGCTCCCTGCGGGGGGACAAGCAGGAAGCACAGGTCAGGCCCAGCCACCAGCTGCCCACTGCCCCCCCACCGCCCCTGCCCGGTGCTGGGAATGAGGCGAGTGGGCAGCTTTGTGCTCGTGGCTTCACAGAGGATCAGGGCTGCGGCAGCGGGCGGGGGTGACTCTCGGGCTTCAGGGCACTTGGATAAAGAAGGCACTTATGGAGGAGCAAGCCTGAGGAAGTGGACAGCCAGGCAGGCGGGGCTGGCCCAGCCCCCCTGGCATCCCAGGGCTGCGCACTGCAGGGTGAGGGGGTGGGCAGAGGGCCAGGCCATGGAGCTTCTTGAGTTCGGGTACACTAGGGGTCTGGGGAAGAGTGCTCCCACGCGGAATGCCTGAGGAGCCTCGGCACGTTGGATGATGGTGGCGCGTGACCCGTGCAGCGTGGCCAGGGCCACGTGACCCCAGGGCCCAAAGCAGGCGCAGGTGTGCAGGGCCGATCTGCCAGCTGTGGCTCAGGACTGGGACAAAAATCTCGCGTGGACGTTCCCCATCCTTCCTGGTGTGCAGGCGTTTGGTCTCCCCACAGTGGCGGGGGGGGGGGGGGGGGGGGGGAGGGTCCCCTGAATAGTGAGTGCTTTGGGCGTAACCCAAAACACAGGCGATTAAGACAATCAAATGTTTGTCACGGATCACGCACGGCCACAGCCTCCTTTGCTGACATGGGTGTCCTTCCCCCCATGTGTCTGGGGGGACAGGAGGACGGGGACATGGTGGGGGGGGTTAAGCCTTCTCTGGGCCGCAGGAGCGAGCTGCGGGGGTGGCAGGATCCAGTCCCTTGTGGGCACTTGAAATGGACGGACTTTGGGCTGCTCAGAGCCAATGGCAGATGACACTCAAGGCCTGTGGTGGACACAGCGAGGGCCACCCAGGGGGACAGCGAACGAGCATCGCAAGATTGAACTGGAAAATGGCGGTTCCCGAGACTTGCGCGGTCTCCGTGGCCAGCACCTGCAGGCCCACCTGGAAGATGCTGGTGTGCGTGCGTGCGTGCGTGCGTGCACACACATGTAGTGTACGTGAAGGTGAGGAGCTACACACCTGACCCACGGCCAGCCAGGGAGGGCCCCGCTGGCCACATGGGGCCCGCCCACCTGCTTTGGAAATAAAGTTTTATTGGAACACCGCCGTGTTCATTCATTCCTGCATGAGTTGCTTGTGGCTGCTTCTGCCCTACAAAGGCAGATGTGCACATCTGAAATAGGCACTATCCGGCCGCTAAAGGCAACGCTTGCCCTGAGGACTAGAGGCTCTCCAGACCGTCTGGAAAGGACTGCAGGAGAAAAGTGAAGCCAGGACTGAATCCTAAGAACCTGAACCGCCTCCCTGTTCAACGCTCCCAGTGCAGCCGGGGGGGGGGGGGGGGGGGGGGGGGGGGGGGGGGCTTGAACTCAGGCCCTTGCACGTAGGAGGCAAGCCCTCAAACCACTGAGCTACGGCCCCAGCTGTGGGAATCTCCCCCCACCTAGACAAGAAGAAGCTCTGCGCTCCCGTCTCTCTTTCAGGCTGAACCCTGATCCCTGCCAGTCTTTGTGGCGTCCAGAGAAGGTGTGTGTGCCCCGCGTAGCGGCACGCACGCGCAGCACCCCCGCCGGCGTCCTCATTCACACGCCAGCTTGCTGTCGAAGCTGGACAGGCCGATGGCGAAGGCCTGCAGCGCGCACAGCGGGTAGTTGTAGTCCAGCGTGAACACGTCCTCCGCCACGCGGCCGAACTGCATGACTATGTACTCAGCTGTGGACAGGAGCGGCAAGGGCGTTAGGCGGGAGCCGAGGATGGGAAAGGCGCCCCCAAGCAGGCTGAGCGGCCATGGGGCTCCTTACAAGTAGCAATGGGGTTCAGTGGTGCAAGCCTGTCGCCCCAGCTCCCTGGAGATGGAGAGCGGGAGGCTGCCCCTTGGGCAGGGAAGTTCGAGACCCCATCTCAACCAACGACTGGGCACAGCGCACCATGCTCGTCACCCCCAGCAGCTCGGGGAGGCCCAAGGAGGAGGATCACAGAGCAGGCACAAAGGGAAGCCTACCAGATGACAGCAAAATAACCAGCGCAAGAGGCGCTGGAGGCCTGGCTCAGCGGTAGCGCACCCGCCTGGCAGGTGCGAAACCCTGAGTTTAATCCCCAGATAGAGATGCGGAGTATATGCAAGAGAGGGAGAGAGGGGAGGGGAGAGGAGGGGAGGGGAGGGGAACGGGGAGAGGAGGAGAGAGAAATTGCAAAATATGAAATGTAATGAACTTATATGCAGGGAGGTGGGGGGCAGGGGAAACAGAGAAGGGGGGACATTATCCAACGCCTGACTTACAAAGTCGGAACCTCTCAATATCCACGTTAACGAAGGCAATGGATGTGTGTTTTGAAACTTAGGGCACGTGCGTCTGGGGCCGGTGTGGTCTATCTACGATCCCGGCACTCAGGAGACTGAGGCAGGAAGACGCGAGTGTGTGCGGGCAGCCTGAGCTAGGCAGCAAGTTCGAGACCAGCATCAGCCCCACGGCAGGCCTGGCCTGGGCAAGCAAGTTCCCGACTGAGTGAAGGCAGAAGAGTCTAGAACAGCAGCTTGGATGCACTCCAGGGCCAGAGTCCAAGGGAGCTTTATTTACCCACAGTCTCCTGCGTGCACTTGGGCCCGGTCAGCCCCCGCAAGACGGGTTCAAGGCCCGTCTCCCGAGGGCATGCTCCCTTCCGGCTCGGGGACGTACCTCGGCCCACCCCCCACGCCTTGCCGCCACTCACGGTCGTTTCCGTGGACAATCTGGAAGTTCTTCACGGAGGCCTGCGTGACGCGGCCGTGGAAGTTGAGCACGTAGGACTGCGTGTCATCATTCCACACGGGGGCCTTGTTGTGCAGCTCGATCAGGTTCTCCATGGCTTTGTTCTGCCACTTGGACAGCAAGCTCTCGTGGTCCTGCGGGAGGAAGCTAGGCGTGTGGACACCCGCGCGTGCGCACCGCGGCCCACAGGCAAGACCGCAGGCCAGCCACGGGCACACGAGGTCAGCGTGTGTGAGTGTGTGTTCGTTCCCAGCACAGGAGTGGCAACCCCCAGCAATAGTGCTCATCCTGGGTTTGGTCTATTTTTGCCACTTTGGGTTTTGGGTGGGTTTTCTGGTCAATTGTGGGGCTTGAACTCAGGGCCTGGGCGCTGTCCCTGAGCTCTTTTGCTCAAGGTGAGTGCTCTACCGCTTTGAGCCACAGTGCCAGTTTTTGTGTGGTTAATTAATTAAGAGTCTCACAGGGACTTTTCTGCCCGGGCTGGCTTCAAATCGTGATCCTCAGAACTCAGCCTCCTGAGCAGCCGGGATTCCAGGCGTGAGCACCGGTGCCAGCCTGTCCCGAGGTCGTACAGCAATGGTCTCATGAAGGAGCGTGTGGCACACTCCGGGACTTCCTCGTGTCACACCACAGTCATTCACGGCCCTTGCGGTGTGTTCTTACTTACATTCCGTGGCCGGAACGGGATCCGCTCGTGGTTCAGATTCATCCCAGGAATGATCACGGACATCTTCCTGGGGCCTTTAAATCCAAGCACGTTTGTTTCCTGGAAGACACAGGAAGCAAAGAAACCGGGTTCCGGTCGAATGTGAGGCTTTCTTAGGGGTGCAAAAGGTTGGCGGAGCCAAAAGCACCAAAAGTGTTTTCTGACTTTGCTCCAGGTTAGACAGGAAGGACGAATGGACACTAGGAAGCCAGGCACAGACAGCAGCGTGGCCCCCAGCCCTGAAGCGGGGAGACAGAGGCAGGCGAACCCCTGGAGCCCAAGAGTTTGGCACCGCCTAGCCGCACAGTGAGACCCTGGCAAACGTATCAGGAGCCAGGTATGGTAGCACATGGCTGTAATCCCGGAACTGGAGGGAGGCTGAGGCAGGAGGCTGAAGCGTTCTGAGGCCAGCTTAGGGTACACAATGGGATGCTGTCTCAAACAAACAAAAACAAAACAAAACCAAAGAAAGGAAGTGAGGGAGGAAAATTGATTTTGTCGGTCGGTTTGTTTGGCTCAGAGGTAAGGAAGGTTTACTAAATTACGTTCGGGCTGGGAAGGTGGCTCAGTGGTAGAGCGCTTGCCTTGCATGCCTGAGGCCCTGGGTTCGATTCCTCAGCACCACATAAGCAAAAAGAAAAAAGCCAGAAGTGGCTCTGTGGCTCAAGTGGTAGAGTGCTCAGCCTTGAGCTGAGGGACAGCGCCCAAGCCCAGAGTTCAGGCCCCACGACCGGACCCAAAAATAAATAAGTAAATAAAAACTAAATTACGTTCATAAAGAAAAAGGAAGGAAGAGAAAAAGCAAGAAACAGTACCAAAAAAATGAAAAATAAAGCCGGGCGCCAGTGGTTCACGCCTGTCATCCTAGCTACTCGGGCTGAGAGCTGAGGATTGTGGTTCAAAGCCAGCCCCGGCAAGAAAGTCCTTGAGACTCGTATCTCCAATAAACCGCCAGAAAACCAGAAGTGGCGCTGTGGCTCAAGTGGTAGAGCGCCAGTCTTGAGCTGAAGAGCTGAGGGACAGCGCCCAGGCCCTGAGTTCAAGTCCCAGGACTGACTAAAAAAGTAAATAACGACATCTAGCAATAGCTCACAGACAATTCAAACATGAGTCTGGAGAAAATGATGCCAGCTGTAGTAACCTGGAAGGGAACTGGGTTAGAGGCTGGGGGGGGGGGGGGGGGGAGGATAGAAAGGGACAGAGGAAGAGAGGAGGGAAGAGGGAAGGGATGGGGTCCTTACGTAGCAGATGGCCGCCAGCTCCTGTCGGGTGTGGGCCTTCTCCACCAGCCCTTGGGCCTTGACCGGGTTGACTCCGTGGTCATACACAGTGAACTTGGTCCCCATGAGGTTGGATCTAGTGTCAGGAGAAAAGGCCAGCAAGACACTCAGTATTTGTGTGTCTAGGAAAGAGGAGAAGCAAGAGATCCAGCCGCCTCTTCTCCGAAGCCTCCACCACCCACCTACTACCAAGCGCTCCCGTGGTAAGGGGCCTTGGTTTCCTTTAACGTTTTCTTCCTGAGGCTTGAACTGGGGGACTGGGCGCTGTCTCTGACCTAGTTTTTGTGTTTTGTTTTCTGGTCGGTCGTGGGGCCTGAACTCTGGGCCTGGGCGCTGTCCCTCAGCTCTTCAGCTCAAGGCTGGCGCTCTACCACTTGAGCCACAGCGCCACTTCCGGTTATCTGGTGGTTTACTGGCGGTGAGAGTCTCATAGACTTTGCTGCCCGGGCTGGCTTTGAACTGGGATCAACAGATCTTGGCTTCCTGAGTCCTTAGGCAGACAGGCGTGAGCCACCACGCTTGAGTGCATCTGTTCATTGTTCGATGACCGCAGGTGGACATGCTAACTGCATGTCAGCACCCAGGAGGGATGGGATGGCGTGTTGGGGGGGGGGGGGAAGGGGGGCACCCACCTGAGCTTGCCTACGTAACTCTCCCCTTCACGAGACAGATCCGTGGGATCAATGGAGATCAGGTAGTTGGATGTTTTGCTCTTTTTCCGCTTCCTACCTGCAAGGAGAAACACCTGGAAAAGAGGGGTTGCCTGTCCATTGGTGAAGCCCACGGACCTGTGCCAGTCCCTCCACAATCTAACCTTCCGCTCTGGACCCCCCCCCCGGTTTCCAACCTCTCGATACCCCACAATTCATCAGCAGGGGTGCAGGGTGGGCTGTGTGGCGGGGGGGGGGGGGGGGAAGAGCACTTGCCCAGCCTGTGGCTGGAGGTGAGGAGGAGGAGGGGGAGGGGGAGGGGGGAGGGGTCCCGCCCCCCCACCCCCCCACGGAACACCAGGCCCTGCACCTTGCGGCTCTCGTCCTTCTCCAGGTGCATGTAGTAGGTGGGGAAGAGGCCGCGGTCCATCCCTTTCTTGTCTCTGGTGATGCGGCACTTGACCGTGACGCCCCGCGGGGCGGGGCTGTAGGCGAAGTCCTCCAAGTTCTCCACCTCCCCCAGCTGCGGCTCAGCCTGCGGGGCTGCGGAACCGGAAGCGCCCGGGTCCTGACGGCACAGCCACGGGGGAACAAGGGAAACACACGTAAAGGACTCACCTCCGTGACTCTGAACAGTCAGATGAGGGCGTGAGATCTGAGGGTCGCAGTTCAAAGCCAGACCAGGCAGGAAAGTCTGCGAGACTCTTATCTCCAATAAACCGCCAGAAAACCAGAAGTGGCGCTGTGGCTCAAGTGGTAGAGCGCTCACTTTGAGCTGAAGAGCTGAGGGACAGCGCCCAGGCCCAGAGTTCAGGCCCCACAACCGACAAAAATAAATAAATAAATAAATCCAGGCACCACTGGCTCACACCTGTAATCCTAGCTACTCAGGAGGCTGAGATCCAAAGGTCACAGTTTAAAGCCAGCCTGGGCAGAAAAGTCTGTGAGACTCTTATCTCCAATGAACCACAAAGAGCCAAAAGTGAAGCTATGGCTCAAGCCTTGAGAGAAAAAGTTCAAGGAGAGTGCCCAGGCCCTGAGTTCAAGGCCCACGACAGGCAAAAAAAATTAACATAAAAAGAGGTAGCATTATAATAGCTACCCCAAGACGGAAATTCTAGAAGTCAGAGACGTTAAGTCTAAATGTGAACGTGCATTTGGAAGTGGTATTTAAACACCAAAGACACGGCTCCAGCAATAGGGACAGGAGCTCCAACGCGATAAACGTCAGGAGCACACACCGAGGCTGGCTCTGGTGAGGACGCAGAGCTGGGTCTCTCCCCTTCGGAGTGCGGTGACTGGAAACCTGTTTTCTTCCCTTCTTCCTCCTCACCATCGGACTCCTCCTCGTCGAAGTTCAAACTACTGGAGATACCTGGCAGCCAAGGAGACACCGTCAACACCCACCGCCGCCACTTCCAAAACATCCTAACTAGGAGCTGGGCGCTGTGGCTCACACCTGTAATCCTAGCTCCTCAGGAGGCTGAGATCTGAGGATCGTGATTTGAGGCCACCTGGGCCAAGAAAGTCATTGAGACTCTTATCTCCAAAGAACCGGAAAAAAAAAAAAAAAGCTGGGAGTTGTGGTACAAGTGGTAGAGCACTAGCTTGGAGCACAAAAGGTCAGGGGCAGTGTCCAGGCCCTGGGTTCAAGCCTCAAGATGGATACAGAAAAAAAGAAACATGCAAAGACAAGGCGCTGCCCGGGACGCTGGCCAGACTCACCGTGCTTCTGCAGGATCTCCTGCAGGTCTGGCTTGGGCGAAGCGCTCTCCTCATTCACACTGCCTTCTGGGTCTTCGTCAGGGGTGGAAGAGCTCATGGAGAGCACGTGCACTCTGCTTTCTGACTCGGGAACCTCTGGTTTCAGGAAGGCGGCTGGTCCATCAATGCCTAGGACGCCAAAGAGAAAGGAGAGTGTGTTTTGTTGTTTTGTGGATCGTTGGGCTTGAACTCTGGGCCTGGGCACTGCCCCTCAGCTCTTCAGCTCAAGGCGAGCGCTCTACCCCTTGAGCCACAGCACCACTTCTAGCTTTGCTGGTTTTGTGGTACTAAGGAATTGAACCCAGGGCTCATGCATGCAAAGCAAGCGCTCTACCACTGAACCACCTTCCCAGCATCTGAGAGAAGGGGCGTGGCTCCAAGGCCCCGCCCTCTCGGTCCCACATGACCCCTCTAGCTAGCCACTGCAAAGGAGGGCTGGGTAGACCTCCTGCACCATGCGAAGACCTACCTGCACAGGGCCCCAGCGGGGACCGCCAGGGCCTGCTCGCCAGCCCCGTGAAGACCCCCCCCCCCAGCCTCGGTACCCACCGTGGAGGACCACGTCCTGGTGCAGGATCTGAGGTTCCACCAGGGGCGTCTGCTCCTCACTCCCCCTGGGCTTCAGCCTGCGGAGCCGGGCCTCAGGGTTGGGCTGCACCATGAGGGGCTCCAGGCGCTTCTTCCTCTGCTTCTTCTCCAGCAGCGCCCTCTAGGGGAGAGATGGGGCACTGCGGTCAGGAACCCAATCACTGACTCTGACCTGAGTTCAAGTCCCGGCACTGAAACACAAGGAGCACTTAACTATTCCTCAGTGTTCCTAAAGGGGTTGGGTTGAAGCTATGGAATGAGACCCTTGGCCTAGAGAGAGAGAAAAACCAGCAAGATCACTTGTTGGGGCTAAAAGTAACCATTCAGAAGGTGAAATTGTTTTAAGGAGAAGATACAGGTGAGGGATGGCGGGGACGGGGTTGCGGGCAAGCAGTGCGCACAGTAGGAATTGTCACAAAAGCTCCCTAGTATATCTAATGTGTGCTCTGGTGGCTCCCGCCTCTCCTCCCAGCTACTCAGGAGGCTGAGATCTGAGGATCGCGGCTCAAAGCCAGCCCGGGCAGGAAAGTCTGTGAGACTCTGATCTCTAAGGAACCACCAAAGAGCCAGAAGTAGAGCTGTGGTTTAAGTGGTAGAGCACTTGCCTTGAGCAAAAGAGCTCAGGGACAGCGCCTAGGCCCTGAGTTCAAGCCTCAGGACCAGTACCAAAAAAAAAAAAAAAATCTTACTAACTTCCGTGAGATCCCAGGAACAGGAGTGGAAGTTTTACATTAGAATGCGTGCACGGAGAACGTCATCTCTAAGAAGGACGGGTACCGATGGGCAGCCCCACACACAGGGAGGTGTTTCCACCAGGATCCTGTTCCCACCCCAGGAACCAACCTTCTCCCCCACAGGTAGCACAAGACACAAAACTCTCCCCTTGGGTGTGGGGCAGCCTGGTGAACTTGTGAAAATTAACACACCCCTCCAGGAAGTGTGTCTACAGGGCACTGGCACAACTAGATGGCAAAAGAGCAAAGTCAAGTCTCCATCTCCCATGGAGATGAACTCAGAGGTGAACTCAGGGCAGGTGTAGCTCAGGCTGGGACTTGCCTAGCGGGCACAAGGCCCTGGGTTTTCTTTCTTCTGTATAAGGGGAAGAAAAGCCAAGTAACTAAAGTGGACCGCAGGCAAGTGGGAGAGACAGAACTACAGAGCCGTTGGGAGTGGACCCGTGGAGCACCTGATTGTCCAGTCGGAGCTGGCGAAGCCTCAGAGACTCATCTTCAAAGGCACTGTGGCAAAAACAAAAGCGAGAGACGCAAAGATGAGAAAATAAAATCATTCCCAAGCCTTGTCACCGAGGGAGGGCTGGATGAAGGGACAAAATATATTACCCTGGGAGACTGGGAGATGGGCTCTGCGTGTGTGTGTGTGTGTGTGTGTGTGTGAACTCTGGGCCTGGGCGCTGTCCCTCAGCTCTTCAGCTCAAGGCCAGTGCTCTACCACTTGAGCCACAACACCACCTCCAGTTTTCTGGTGGTCCATTGGAGATAAGTCTCACAGACTTTCCTGCCCAGGCTGGCTTCGAACCACGCTCCTCAGATCTCAGCCTCCTGAGTAGCTAGATTGACAGGTGTGAGCCACCGACGCGTGGCTAGTAACGAAACCTTGGAAAGCATGTTACGTGTTGCTCAGTGTATTGATTTTAAAAGACCAGAATCAACATGGCAGGCAGGAAGAGCATCCTTGCAGTTTCTGCCCAGCCCAGAAGACTCCCCACTGGTACCAAGACCAGCCTTGGGAGTTGCCCACCACCGTCACTCAAGCTGACAGACCCGGGCAGACATCGGATCACTCCTGCCTGCGACTCTGACACTGGATCCCACAGGCCCCGCTCAGTGGAGACCACGGTGTTCACAGGACCCTGCTCTCCTTTACGCCTGGGGGAACCGAGACACACCTGCAGAGGCAGGATGAAGAGGTGCACACTAGTTGCGGCCTGTGATCCACTGCACTAAAACAGAGGAGACACCCCTGGGGCTCATCTGTAACCCCAGCACTCGAGAAGAAAGGCTGAGGCAGTAGGATCTCAAGTTTGAGGGCTGCCGAGTCTCAAACCAAAGTTGGGCATAGTGGCTCCTGCCTATAATCCCAGCAGCCTCGTAGGAGACAGAGGAAGGCAGATCGAGGTTCTGAACACAAGACCCTGTTAGAAAAATAACTAGAGCAAAAAATCCAAGCCTCAGCAGGCCCCTCTCCTCCAGAGAAATGACAATGACACTTCCAAGTTGTAACCAGAGTTCTGGCCCGTTAGGAGCTGGTGAGGATGTGAGCCCATGGCAAACGGTAGCAGTCACTCCCGTCACCAGCTCTACAGCAGGGGTGAAGCTGTGAGGTCTGAGAAGACTGAAGGAAGGTACGCAGAGGCTCTCCTGGAGGCCAGACACCTCCTCAGCCCCGCCTGTCCTTCCCGGCTACTCTTGACCCACCAGCACCAGGCATGCCTGCTCTTCCTACTCCCAAATACGCGTTCAAGACACCATTCTCAGGGCTGGGCAGGTGGCTCAGTGGTAGAGCGCTTGCCTTGCATGCCTGAGGCCCTGGGTTTGATTCCTCAGCACCACATAAGCAAAAAGAAAAAAGCCGGAAGTGGCGCTGTGGCTCGAGTGGTAGAGCGCTCGCCTTGAACTGAAGAGCTGAGGGACAGCGCCCAGGCCCAGAGTTCAGGCCCCATGACAGACTAAAAAGAGAGAAAACGAAAAGACACCATTTCTTTTTTGGTTGCTCTTTCAGAATCCCTCTCAAAGCGTGAAACCTGCCAGGTATTGAGGGCTCACACCTGTATCCTAACTACTTAGGAGGCTGAGATCTGAGGAGAGAGGTTCGAAGCCAGCCCAGGGTGGAAAATCAATCTATGAGACATCTGATCTCCAATGAGCCACCACCAAAAAGCTGGAAGTGGAGCTGTGGCTCAAAGTGCCAGGGCGCTAGGAGCCTTAGCACAAAAGCTCAGGGGCAGCATCCAGGCCCTGAGTTCAAAAAAAAAAAACAATACTGCCAGAGGAACCCAGCCATGGCTAGAAATGATCGGGAGACCCCCGCCCCCTAAATGCACCCCCTGCTCTTTGCTTCCCCTCCTTCCTGTATCATCCCAAGTTTTATGCCTTCCTACGGGAGGTTCAAGGGGGGAAGGTGGGGGGGGTGCTTCAGGTCTCCCAGGGACAGACCCCCAAAATCCTAGGGGAGAATGAAACAAGCCTGTGGCAAGTCAACAACGCCCTTGCAGACACCTGGAAGGTTTTGTGGTCGACTTGGAAACCCAACCCAACAATGAGCGGTGAGAATAAAACACACAGCCACGCGGCTCTCCTGGCTGGCTCTATTCTATTTTAAAACAACGCGTTTCCTTGTGGATTGTTCGCTCACCGTAATAAAGCGAGCCACGAAAACCAAGGATCTGTAGGGACACAAAACCAGGCTGGCCGGCCGTGTGGTTGCTTAGCCACAGCGGGCCACCCCCGGGAAGTCCATTTTCCTCCCTAATAAATGGGGGAATAATGGCCCCTCCCTCTCACAGCTAAGTGAGGGTCAATGGGAAGCCAGCAGGTACACGAAGGCGCGAGACCACCCAGCCTTCCCCCACCATCCGTCTCTCGCACGGACAAGTGACAAGCCTGTCATCTGCCTGCCTCACTTTCTCATGAGCATATTTTTAAAATTAATTTTATGTATTTATTGTTTATGGGGAACCGAGGAATTGAACCCGGGGCCTCGTGCATGCTAGGCAAGCACTCTACCACTGAGCCAGCCCCCATGGGGGTAAGGTTTCAGACGTCATGGAGTTATGTCAGGTTTGAATGGGGCCAGGGGTGGGGCTGGCTAGCAGGGGTGAGGCCCCGGGCCCCCTCCCCCACCCTGGCACAAATAACCAGGTATGTGATAATGTAATAATCAGGAGACACGTTAATAAGGGTAAGGGGCTTAGAACAGAACTAAGCCAATAGAAAGCCAACACTAAGCCTTTGCTTTTTTATGCTTTGTGGGGTAGAAGGGCTGGAGGCTCCCAGCCTCTGCTTCCTGAGTACACCAGCCCGGCATCATGAAGTCTTTCCTGTCATTTTCTGAAGCCCTCTGGTCTTGCCTATTTGTGTAAGGGTTAAAGATGTCCTTAGCGCTCCAAATGGCTTAGTTGATAAGAGCATCATCATTACTGAAACGTTTAAGAAAATCTTTGCGTGGACTAACGTGTCCTGCTAATTATACAATAGAGGTGCTGACAACTCATCAAAAAGGGTGATTTTACTCTGACGTTTCTATAAAGAATTAGCATGGATGCAGGGCTGGGCAGGTGGCTCAGTGGTAGAGCGCTTGCCTTGCATGCATGAGGCCCTGGGTTCGATTCCTCAGCACCACATAAATAGAAAAAGCCAGAAGTGGCGCTGTGGCTCAAGTGGTAGAGCGCTAGCCTTGAGCTGAAGAGCTGAGGGACAGCGCCCAGGCCCAGAGTTCAGGCCCCCCCCCCCCCGAAAAAAAAAGCATTACCATGGATGAGCAGGTGGTAGACGAGCAGGAAGAAGCCGGCTGGCCCACAGCCCCTCCCCGTCGCTCCTTCCCTCCAGCCTGTCCACCCCTCCCACTTCCATCATGTCTACCATTCTCCAAACTGAAACTGCTAATGGTAGGGGCTGGAGATTTCACTCAGTGCTAGAGCCCTTGTCTAGCTTGCTCAAGGCCCTGGGTTTGCTCCTCAGCACCGAAATCAATCCATCAATCATCTTAATTGTCAAATCAGTCTAGTTGTCCTTCAAAGTATTTCTCAAATACAAAAAAAAAAAAAAAAACACCTTCAAATGGAATATAAAATTCTTAGTCACCAATGAATGCAAATGTATACTCGAGAGAAATTATAAAACTGTTTTTATGCTTTGTGTATGTGTGTGCATGCCAGTCCAGTCCGGGGTCTTGAACTCAGGGCCTAGATGCTGTCCCTGAGCTGGTACACTACCACGTGAGGTACAGCACTACTTCTGGCTTTTTTGGTTGTGCACCGGAGATAAGTGTCTCTTGGAAGTTCCTGCCTGGGCTGGCTTTGAACCACCATCCATAGACTTCAGCCTCCTACGCAGCCAGGATTACAGGTGTGAGCTACTGACACAGCATCAAGCTATTATCTTACAAACAGGATTGTGAAGTAGTGCAACAGCCAAAGAGGGTGGTGGTCAGGGTAACTAACCAGGACTGGTTAGGATCCAGTGGAGACTGGTTAGGGCAAAGTACGTGCACAGTGCACCACCAGGCAGTGCTGTGGAAGATGCGGGGAACACTGCTTCCAAGCTGTTCTGCTAGTCAGGGCTAGGCCAGCAGCCCCGGGCAGCAGCACTGCGACCCTGGCCAGGAAGGAAGGAACACAGCCCAAGCTATTTCCATGTCTGGAAATACCGCACAGGGAGCTGGTGTTGGCCTAGGGAAGGAAGAAGGAGTCTGGGAGAGGAGCTGTTACTCTCTTCCAGATACATTGTGAATTCCACACCGATGTGAGCGCATCTTTAGGGTCCACAAATTCTACTAAGAATAATCACAAGCCAGGTACCTATGGCTCACACCTGTCATTCTAGCTACTCAGGAGGCTGAGCTAGGAAGATCGCAGTTCCAAGTCCGGCTGGGAAGGGAAGTCCATGACTTGTATCTCCAAGTAGCCAGCAAAAAGGTGGGGTGGAGCTGTGGCTCAAGTGGTAGAGCACCAGCACGGAGTTAAAAACCCAAGCAAGGGGGCATGAGGAACTGAGCTCAAGCCCCCGTACCAACACACACACACACACACACTCACACACACACGCAGAATAAAGTACAAAACTGCAATGCTGGCCCTGACTCTGTGGCTGATGCTGTCCAGGAGAGCTGTCTGGCAGTGATGGGCTGGGCGTGGCCTGGGTCTGAATCACCATCGCCCACCACAGCGCCCCTGGCTGCTGTGCATGCTCAGTCTAGGTGTTCTAGAAGGCTCTCAAACAGCTGCATTTTAAAAAGGAAGAAATACTGGCCATTTGGTGGCCTTTTGTATTGCTTTGTTTCTTGGGTGGTTTTTTGGGGGGTTGTGTGTGTGGCTTTTTTCTTAGTGCATCTTGATTGTACCAAGGGCTTCCACTATGATGTGTCCTAACACGCATGTAACCCTGGGCTATTTTTACAGGCGAAATCTGAAGCGGGTGCATTATCATGGTTAACAGGCAGAGGATGTGCTCTGCGGCTGCTGGGGGAGGGAGGGCTCTCAAGGGAAGATCCATACCAAGTTACCCAGGAGACAGAGCATCCTCCAGAACCCCCAAGCAAACCCAGCCGGCCCGCCAGAGCTGGGGCTGGGGTGTCAGGAGGCACCCCACTCCTCTGGGAATTCTCTTGTCTTCACTACGCAGAGCAACTTCCAAAACAAAGCCTTGCTAGCACCTCTGCTCCACACCCGATCCAACGCCACGTGGCCAAGCAAAGTTATAAAGAAACTGGCCAGCATCAGCACTTGCTGACCTTCCCAGGACTGCTGGAGGGCACCGGGTCTCCAACACAAGGATGCTTTAAAAGAAATGGGCTGGGCAGGTGGCTCCGTGGTAGAGTGCTCGCCTCGCATGCATGAGGCCCTGGGTTCGATTCCTCAGCACCACAGAAGCAGAAAAAGCCAGAAATGGTGCAGGGGCTCAAGGGGTAGAGCGCTGGCCTTGAACTGAAGAGCTAAGGGACAGCTCCCAGGCCCAGAGTTCAAGCCCCATGACCAACAAAAACAAGAAAACAAAAACCAAAACAAAAGAAATGCCTGATAAATGAACTTTTTAATTTTTGTATGTGTCCATCCTGAACCAAGATCCAAGACGGCCAGGATGTAACTTCTAGATTGATTGATTGATTTAGGGGCCAGTCCTGAGGCTTAAACTCAGGACCTAGGCACTGTCCTTGAGCTTTTGTGCTCAATATCCAAAGCTCCACTTAAAGCTTTTTTTGTGGTAGGTTAGTGAACATGAAAAGTCTCCTGGACTTTCCTGTCCAGGCTGGCTCTGAACCTTGGAACGTTAGCTTCCTGAGTAGCTAAGATTACAGGTGTGAGCCACTGGTAAATGGTAGCATAGGAATCGTAGCATAGACAAATCACAGACAATGACTTTCTTATGCAATTCTAGGTCACAATATATTGGGAGGCACAATTTCACTTCCGTGTCACTAACAGAGTCTGTGTGTGTGTGTGTGTGTGTGTGTGTGTGTGTGTGTGTGTGTGTGTGTGTGTGTGTGTGTGTGTGTGTGTGTGTGTGGTCTGTCTCTGGATCAAACCCATTTCAGGGCCTGGGCGCTGTCCCTCAGCTCTTCAGCTCAAGGCTAGCGCCCTGCCACGAGCCACAGCACCACTTCTGGCTTTTTTCTGCTTATGTGGTGCTGAGGAACCCAACCCAGGGCCTCATGCACGTGAGGCAAGCACTCTACCACAGAGCCATCTTCCCACCCGGTCATCTAGCCTTGACAGAGAGTTTCAGACTCCTCTCTACTTTTCGCTACGTTGTACTTCGGATATTGGAGAAATGTTTTATTTGCTTTGTGGATGACAAATCTACCTAAAAACAGTCATTGGATTCCAAAAAAAACCACCACAGGAAACTGAAAACGTCCCTCAGAGTAAAATCTCTGCATGTGTTTCTCATGGAAAGCATTACATACATGGCTGGGATTGGGAAGGGTCTGGCGAGCGAGCCCGAGACCCTCACTTCCAACCCCAGCACCATCCAAACCAAACAAAAACCCAGCAACTGCAAGGCAAAAAAACAAGCAAAAGACATCCAACTCCTTCTCAGATGAACAGGGTGGGGGATGGTCTGGTGACTCACACAGTCCTTCTTTGATGTCAATTTTTAACATTAAAGAGCTGGCCTCTTCAGGGAGCAAAGGACAGGTTTTCAAATTATACCTTTAAGCTTCAGGCCCAGTAAAAACCATTTTGCTTCCTGGCCCTAATAGCAAAGGTTCCCAGCTTGCTTGCTCTGCTGGCACGCTACCACTCGAGCCATGCCTCCAGTCCAGCATTTTGCTGGTTCAGTTGGAAATGAAATCTCAAAAACTGTTCTGCCCTGCCAGACACTGGTGGCTCACGCCTGCAATCCTAGCTACTAAAGAGGCTCAGATCTGAGGATTACAGTTCAAAGCCAGCTTGGGCAGGAAACTACAGGAGACTCTTATCTACAATTAACAACTCAAAAACCGAAAGTAGAGATGTAATTCAAGTGACAGAGCACTAGCTTTGAGCACAAAATGCTCAGGGACAGTGCCCCTGAGCTGGCCCCAGGAACAGCACAAAAACAAAAACAAGCAAAAATCTGTTCTGGCTGGGTGTTGGTGACTCACTCCTGTAATCCCAGCTACCCAGGAGGCTGAGACCCTGAGGATCTCCATCAGAGACTTATCTCCAATTAACCACTGGAAAACCAGAAGTGGCGTTGTGGCTCAAAGTGGTTAAGAGTGCTGGCCTTGAGCAGAAAAGCATAGAGACAGTGCCCAGGCCCCAAGTTCAGGCCCTATGACTGACCAAAAACAAACAAACAAACAAAAACAAAAAACAGAATCTGTTCTGCCCTGGTGGCTTTGAACTTGGTTCCTCCAAGTCGTAGCTTCCCGTACTGGTACCCAGTATCTCTTTTTTGCCTCAAAAAAAAAAAAAAAAAAAGGCATCAATCACATCAAATATCAAGTAACCAGAAAAATGTACTGTTTGAAATTCATTAAAAAAATTAATAAAACTGGGCTGGGAAGGTGGCTCAGTGGTAGAGCGCTTGCCTTGCAAGCCTGAGGCCCTGGGTTCGATTCCTCAGCACCACATAAGAAAAGCCGGAAGTGGCGCTGTGGCTCAAGTGGTAGAGCACTAGCCTTGAGCTGAAGAGCTGAGGGACAGCGCCTAGACCCAGAGTTCAGGCCCCACGACCGGACCCCCCCCCCAAAAAAAAGCACCCTATTGCTGGGTGCCAGTAGCTCACACCTGTCACCCTAGCAACTCAAGAGGCTGAAATCTGAGGATTGCAGTTCAAAGCCAGCTCAGGCAGGAAAGTCCATGAGACTCATATCTCCAATAAACCACTCAGAAAACCTGAAGTGGTGCTGTGGCTCAAGTGGTAGAGTGCTGGCCTTGAGCAGAAGAGCTGAGGGACAGCCCAGGCCCAGAGTTCAAGCCCCACAAACAAACAAACAAAAAAAAGGCACCCTATCCTCCCAAAAACCTGAGTATCCACAACCAAACAGAGAGTATGTGAACTCAACCTCTTAGAGATGATGGTCATGCTTTGTGTCCCTTACCACTTCTATACCTATACTTACAGACTGAAAAATAATTCTATTTCTCTCAACTTGAAAAGAGAACAAATTTCATAGCAGAACAATATATCACACAAACGGAACTTGATAAAAGAGAATGGGAGGGCTCCTTTACGACTTCATAAAAGATGGTTTCGAATCCATTAAGTATCAAATCATTTAAAATCAGGCTCAATCTGGGCTGGAATCATGACTCAAGCGGTAGAGCACCTGAGCAACTTGTGCAAGCCAACTGAGTGATTCTAAGCCCCAAGTGCAAATCCCAGAACCATGCTGTCTTCATAGACTCCTAACTATTCAGGAGGCTGTGATTTGAGGATCAAGGTTTGGAGCCAGCCAGGTAGACAAATTCTGGAGACTCATCTCCAATCAAATAGCCAGAAAGTCATTGAAGTGGTAGAGGACCAGCCCTGAGTGAAAAGTTGGTGCCGGTCACCAAGCCCTGAGTTCAAGCAACAGTACAAAGCCAGTGTGGCTCATGCCTCCAAGCTGAGCTCTGAGGATCGCGGTTCAAAGCTACCCTGGAAAAGAAAATCCTTGAGACTCTCTCTTATCTCCAGGTCAGTCACCAAGAAACCAGAAGGGGGGTTGACGCTCTAGTGGTAGAATGCCAGCCTTGAACAAAGAAAAGCTAAAGAACAGCACTCAGGCCCTGAGTTCAAGCCCCAGTATAGACACTCACCCCATCCCTCCCCCCCAAAAACCAGAAAAATCAGCCAAAGCCCTTACCAAGCGTTTCTTTGCTGCGGTAATGGACTGGCATATGATTGCAACTCGGACACAATGCCAAAGTTTTGAGTCAATGCTTTTTACACGGCTCCCCATTAACTTTTCATTAACCGAGCTAATTACACAAATGGACAGGCTGAGATTTCGGGTCAGTTTTCTTTCCCAGGTGCTCTCTGAAGCAGAGGTAGAAAAAAAAAGAGGGGAGGGGAGGAGGAGGATGAGGAAGAGGAGGAGGAGGAGGAGGAGGAGGAGGAGGAGGAGAGGGAGGAGGGGGAGGAGGAGGAAGAGGAGGAGGAGGAGAGGGAGGAGGGGGAGGAGGAGGAAGAGGAGGAGGAGGAAAGGAAGGAAGGAGGAAAGAGAGAGAGCAAGAGAGAGGGGGGAGAGGGAGAGAGAGAGAGAGAGAGAGAGAGAGAGAGAGAGAGAGAGAGCGCGCTCCAGTAGAGAGGGAGAGGCACAAACCAGAAGTGTGGGCCTTTCGGACATCAGACAAACCACCCGGAGTACGAACGGGAAAGCCGAGGGCTGGGCGGCGCGGAGAGGTGGTTATTATTATTATTAGTTATTGTTATTGTTAGCCTCCGAGCCGATCGGGTGCTGCCTTTTTTGACCTCCGACTCGGCGCCGGCCCAGAGCAAAGTCAGAGGAGCAAACGCCCAGAGGCCCCCCCCCCCCGGCCCTGGGCCCCCAGACGTCCCCCCCGCCCGGCCCCCCCCGGCCCCGGCCCCCCGGGCCCCCAGACGTCCCCCCCGCCCGCCCCCCCCCGGCCCCGGCCCCCCGGGCCCCCAGACGTCCCCCCCGCCCGCCCCCCCCCCGGCCCCGGCCCCCCGGGCCCCCAGACGTCCCCCCCGCCCGGCCCCCCCCACCTGCCCCGCCCCTCCGCCCGGCCCGCGCGCCCCGGAGGCCGGGCTGGGGGTCCCCGCGGAGGCCGGGCTGGGCGTGGGCTGGGGGTCCCCGCGGAGGCCGGGCCGGGCTGGGGGTCCCCGCGGAGGCCGGGCTGGGGGTCCCCGCGGAGGCCGGGCGTGGGCTGGGGTCCCCGCGGAGGCCGGGCCGGGCGTGGGCTGGGGGTCCCCGCGGAGGCCGGGCGTGGGCTGGGGGTCCCCGCGGAGGCCGGGCTGGGTGTGGGCTGGGGGTCCCCGCGGAGGCCGGGCTGGGTGTGGGCTGGGGGTCCCCGCGGAGGCCGGGCTGGGTGTGGGCTGGGGGTCCCCGCGGAGGCCGGGCGTGGGCTGGGGGTCCCCGCGGAGGCCGGGCCGGGCTGGGCGTGGGCTGGGGGTCCCCGCGGAGGCCGGGCTGGGCGTGGGCTGGGGGTCCCCGCGGAGGCCGGGCCGGGCTGGACGTGGGCTGGGGGTCCCCGCGCAGGCCGGGCCGGGCCCCGAGGCCCCGCGGCGGGCGGCACGGAAGGCCCGCGCTCCCGGGGCACAGCCGCCCCCCGCCCCCCGCCCCCCGCCGCGGGGCCGCCCGCCCCCTGCCCTCCCTCCGCCGCCCGCTGACCTGTCCCCGCGCCGCCCCGGCCCGCAGTGCGACGCCTCCATGCCCGCCGCCCGCTCGTCCGCCAGCCCGCGGCGTCGCCGCTCCGGACGCCCGGCCGCCGCTTGCCCGAGTGGCACCTCTGGCTGGAAGTTGGGCCCCGCCCCCTGGCAACCACACCCCGCACTGTCGTCGCCTCTGATTGGTCCGTGTGCAGACGCTTCTCTCTCATTGGCTACTGAAGGCAGGAGAGGCGGGAGGGTTTCCAGAGTTGAGGGAGGGACTGCGGGAGGAAGCCGGGAGGCTAACGGCGCATGCACCAAAGGCGGGGTCTGGCGAGGGTTAGAGGAGAGGGGCTGGGGTGCCCGGGGCCGGGGGTGCCCGGGGCCGGGGGTGCCAGGGGCTGGGGTGCCCGGGGCCGGGAGGGGGTGCCCGGGGCTGGCCGGGGGTGCCCGGGGCCGGGGGTGCCCGGGGCCGGGGGTGCCCGGGGCTGGCGGGGGTGCCCGGGGCTGGCGGGGTGCCCGGGGCCGGGGGTGCCCGGGGCCGGGGGTGCCCGGGGCTGGGGGTGCCCGGGGCTGGGGGTGCCCGGGGCCGGGGGTGCCCGGGGCTGGGGGTGCCTGGGGCTGGCGGGGGTGCCCGGGGCTGTGGGTGCCCGGGGCTGGCTGGGGCTGAAGAGGGACGGATGTGCTGGCAGCTAAGCCCCCCCCAAGCACCCACACCCCGAGAGGCTGTCTGCACACCCCTGCACGGAGGCTGCCCGCAGAGCTGCCAGGGTCTGCAGACCTCGCTTGACCCGGGAGGCTTTGGGGGGAACCACACGGGCACCCCTCAACTGCACAGCCCTCCTTCAGCCTTCCCGGCTGGAGATTCCCCGGGAATCCGACCCTCCTTCCCACACACCACCGGGTCTCGGCCCTCGCAGCAGCCTGGAGTTTTCATGCTGATGTGAATGCATGAATCAAAACGTGAGGAAACACAGAACCTGGCCCGAGAGTGGCGGGGCGCTGCACCCCGTGCGATCAGCCTGCATCCGCTGTGACTCTGGAGTCCCTCGGTCTCCGCGCTGCAGCCGTCCCCCTTGGGAAACTGGCAGCGTGCATGTCTACTGCCTCTGGCTGGGCAGGATGCCGCATGGACAGAGCTAAGACCCTTTGCGAATCACGGGGGCAAGATTGTGGTTTGAAGCCAGCCCAGTCAGGAAAGACTGCGAGACTCATTTCCAATGAACCACTTAAAAAGAAATAAAAGCCAGAAGTGGAGCTGTAGTTCAAGTGGTAGAGCACGAGCGTTGAGAAAAAAGCTAAGGGTCAGCACCAGGCCCTGAATTCAAGCACACACGCGCACACACACACACACACACACACACACACACACACACACACACACACCAGGCCCTGAATTCAAGCACACACGCGCACACACACACACACACCAGGCCCTGAATTCAAGCACACACGCACACACACACACACCAGGCCCTGAATTCAAGCACACACACACACACACACACACACACACAGTTTAAAGTGATTACAAAAATCCATTTTGCCACCCAGTTTAATATGGGCAGATTGGAAACAAAACCTCGAACTACAAATCTAAAGTGATTTGCATATCTGCAGCTTCCACCTGCCCGTCCTTCAGGCCACAGACAGGAGCCTCGGCTCTGGGATGATTCAGTGTGAAGAAGTCATTGAAGAAGACCGGAGACAAGACAGACTTTCCCAGGATGGGTGGTACTGCGACGCTGACTGACAGAAGCAGCTTTCTCTAAACTCTTTCTGCAGCCATTTATTTACAAACACTTTATATACAAGATGTATTTACAGAGTCAACATAAGAAAATATGAAGGAAGTTCGTGACATGAAATTGAATGGTTTAGGACAGACAGGGAACCGAATTCCTGGAAAGCTCTAGGGCTCTAGTTTTCCATGTTCTCTCCCTGCGGCTCTGTGAAGAGCAGCAGGTGGGGGGGGGGGGGGGGAGGGTGCATGGGGGGGGGTGCCATCAGCTCTTCACGAGGCACTGGCTCTTGCTCAGCTTCCCTCTCTCGGCTAGGTAGGCCAGCAGGTGCCTCCGCCTCCGCCACGTGACCTTCACCCCGTACTTCTCCTCGGGAGTGTCTTTCACCAGAACGGGGCCGGGCTCCCGGCTCTTGCCAGTGGGGGTGCGGAGGATGTGGGTGGAGAGGCTGTTTTCCTTCTGGTCTGGGAGGATGAAAGAAGATGCGGGGGTCTGGATTTCGGGTGGGATGAAGACATGAGGTAGGCTGTGGAGGGGTGATACCGACGCTTCCGCAGAGCTCTGGGGGCTGAGCAGGGGAACTAAAGGCTTTCTTCTGGAAACGGCCTTTTCAGGCTGACGGGGGTCCTGTGGGATGGGCGGGATCCCCAGGGTCTCTGAACTGGGGGACCGTGCAACCTCGAAGGGCAGCTGTGGAAACCTGCCGGCGGATTTCCGACTTGAATGTCTTGCCTGGTGTCGGTGATGCTTCCGGCAGGCAGGGAACTGGCACTCTGCTGTGGTATCAAACTGTGGTAAGACCTAAGGGCCCAATTTAAAAAAAGTGACACAAGCCAATTGCCAAGTGAAGTACCTAAATCTCTTGGGTACTAAGAAACAGCACCTACATCCAAAGAACAGAATACTTTTAGTTGTGTCTGGAATCAGAAATGAGGTTGTAAAATAGCAATGGACACAAGACAAAGATACTGTCTAGAGAAAAGAATAGGAAAAGCTAACCATTTTGGACGAGTCATTCATCATGCCTAAGAAGGGACAGTGGCTGGGGGCACCAGTGGCTCACACCTGTAATCCTATCTACTCAGGAGGCTGAGATCTGAGGATCAAAGTTTAAAGGCTGCCAGGGCAGGAAAGTCTGAGATTCATATCTCCAATTAATCACCAAAAAGCTGGAAGGAGCTATGGATCAAATGGTAGAGCACTAGCTTGAAGCAAAAAAGCTCAAGGACAGCACCCAGGCTGAGTTCTAGCACAGGTGCGCACGCGCGCGCACGCAAATACGCGCGCGTGCGCAAATACACGCGCGTGCACACACACAAACAGTGCTCTTTCCCTTTATACTGTGCAGACATGACTTGCTTACTGTCTAAAGTTCATATGGTAGGTGTTCAAGAAACAGCTGCGTTTTAAAATTTGCCTGCCATTTATCTGATTTTCCTGCCCAGTAACTGAGTTGACACTGAGCTTTTTCAGAAGAATATGGTAGGGAAGACTCCAGTCCCACTCACATCTTGGTTTGAACCAAGAAAAAAATAAGATATGCTAGAGAGGGCAGGAGTAGGGTTAGGGTAAGAGCTCGAAATCTTCTTCTTTGGAGGCTCTGGTTCAATGCAGCAGCCAGCAATCAGAAAAGCAGGGTACAAGTGAAAAGAGAGCTCCATGAGCACACCCCTTGGGCTTACCCAGGAAGTGATGGAGCTGTGGTCGATGGGCTTGCTGGGCACCTGGACCGTCCGCGTGGCCGGAGGCTGTGGAGAAGCATAGTGGTATTTGGGGCCCTCCAGTGGCTGCTGCTGGAAGAGCAGCTGGGCTTTCAGGGACCGTCTTTGGTGTCTTTTTTTGGGAGGCATAAACAGGTAAATGAAGAGCAGGTGGTAACCACATGATGCTGGCTGCCTTCAGGTTGGGGGTCAGGCTCCAATTTCAACCCATGCCTGAAGAGAAGTAACAAAAACAATTCAGATGATCCCTCAGCTCCTGCCAGTCTACCCTAAACTCAAAAAGTTATAAAGGACACAGCTTCCTGTACCTTCACTACACCAATCACACAAACACAATGTTCATATCGGACCACACTCAGGGAACATCTGTGGAGTTCAGTGCTGTGCTGGGTGCTGTGAACTGAAGATGGTTATCGTTTGTTTAACAATCATTTGTTCATGTCCTGGTCTTCGAAGGAGCTGAGAGTCAAGACTGGGGAACGTAGCTCAGTGGTACAGTGCTTGCAAAAATCTTTGGTCAGATGCACAATATGAAGACCTATTTGTCTATCTATCTAGAGAAGAGGAGAGAGGAAAAAGGAAGGAGAAAAGAAGTGGGCAGGAGAATGGAAGGGAAGACAATAGAAGTCAGTGGCTCATGACTAATTTTAGCTACTCAAAGAGACTGAGATCTGGAGTATCAAGGTCTGAACCCAGCCCAAGCAGAAAAGTCCACTAGACACCATTCTCAAAATAACCAAAAACAGTCAGGCTGGAAATACAGTTTAAGTGGTAGAGCACCAGCCATGAATGTACAAGCTGAGTGAACACAAGGGCTATGAGTTCAAACACTGGTACTAAAAACAGGACGGAAGGACGGAAGGAAGAAAGGAGGGAGGGAGGGAGGGAAGAAAGGAAGGAAGGAAGGAAGGAAGGAGGCAGGGAGGGAAGGAGGGAGGAAGGGAAAGTGGGAGGAAAGGAGGGATGGAGGGAGGGAAAGAAGAGCTGAATATCCAGCAGAAGGAAACAGACTGTTTCAACTCAGTAAGACTGAAATATGTTCTATTCACTTCACATGAGGCTTTCTAGACAACCAAAGTATGAGCCAACCCCATCCCAGCACTCAGGAACCTTCAAGTCAAGGTGAGTCTGGTCTAAGCTAGACCTTGTCTCACAAAACAAAACAGCTGCCTTGTGAATTCAAGGAATTGCCAATTTAGTAACCCAAAGTTTAACAGGTTGAGAGGTAATCAAAGTCTAAAAAGAAAGGCCAGAGGCTGGTGGCTCACGACTATAATCCTAGCTACTGAGGAGGCTGAGATCCGAGGATCATCCCGGTTCAAAGCCAGCCTGGGCAGAAAAGTCCTTGAGACTCTGATCTCCAATTAATCCCAGAAAACGCCGGAAGCCGCGCTGTGGCTCCAGTGGTGGAGCAGTGACAGCCTGGAGCAAAAGCAGCTCAGGGGACAGCGCCCGGGCCCACAGATCAAGCCCCAGGCCTGGCTCTAAAACAAAAAAAAAAAGTGTCCATTGGATCTCGTGGCCCGATCAACTTCAAGGAGAGCTTCTGCAGCGGGCTGCACACACACTTTCTGGGTGTGTGCGGAGGGGGGATTGAACCCAGAGGCCTTCCATCTTGCCAGGCCGATGCTCCCCCGCCGTGGCCGCGCCTCCAAGCCCGGCGACCCGACCTGGACGACGATGCCATCGGCGCTGCCCGCTCCCCTCGGCCCCTGAGGTGCGCTCTGGGGGCGCAGAGGCCCTGCTCCGGGGCCCCGGGGCAGTGAAAGGCGCCGGCCTTGCCTTCCCCCTCTGCCACGGGGCGCGGCCGGGGGCCGAGGCCGGGCCTGGGGGGGGGGGCCTTGCTTGCATTGATGGGGAGTGGGGGTCGCTCAAGTCGAACCAGATCCTCAGAGAGGCCGGGCACCGGGCGATCGACGACTGGGGGAAAGTGGGGTGCGATTCCCCCCCCACACACCCCCATCCCACCCCCAGGAGAGGGACGGACACGGACGGGAATGGGGGGGGAGGCGGGGAGTGAGGCCTGCGAGGGCTGGGCGGGCCTCGGAGCCCGGGCCTCGGGGTCCCCCCCCCCCCCGTACCCTCCTCGCCCGGGCCTCGGGGTGCCCCCCCCGCTCCCCCGCCCGGGCCTCGGGGTCCCCCCCGCCCCCCCCGCCCGGGCCTCGTGGTCCCCCCCACTCCGCCCCGGCCTCGGGGTCCCCCCCGCCCCTCCCTCCGCCACGGCCTCGGGGTCCCCCCCGTCCCCTCCCTCCGCCCGGGCCTCGGGGTCCCCCCCGCCGCGCCCCGCCCCGGCCTCGGGGTCCCCCCCTCCGCCCCGGCCTCGGGGTCCCCCCCGCCCCCCCCCTCCGCCCCGGCCTCGGGGTCCCCCTCCCTCCGCCCCGGCCTCGGGGTCCCCCCCCCCTCCGCCCCGGCCTCGGGGTCCCCCCCGCCCCCCCCTCCGCCCCGGCCTAGGGGTCCCCCCCGCCGCGCCCCGCCCCGGCCTCGGGGTCCCCCCCTCCGCCCCGGCCTCGGGGTCCCCCCCGCCGCGCCCCGCGTCCGGTCCCCCCCGAGCCGCGGCCCCCGGCTTACCGGCCCCCGCCGGCCGGGCCCGGTCTCCTCAGCGGACGCGGACGCGGGAGCGTTCGAGGGCCGAACGCGGAGACAACGCCGTCGCGGCCGGGTGACGTCACGGCGCGCCGCCGCCGGCGCCGTCACGTGACCCGCAACGCTCTCCGCCGGCGCCAATTTCAAACAGCGGAACAAACTGAAAGCGGGCGCTGCCGGGCGGACCCCACCCCGGGCCCCGGCCCCGGGCGTCCCCGCCCGCCCGCACGCTCGTCCGTCCGCACGTCCTGCCGCCCGGCCTCGCCGCGGGCCCCACGCCCCGCACCCGGCCCGCCCGCGCCGCCCGCGCCGCCGGCCCCGCTCCGCCCCGGCGCCAGCCCGCCCCGCCGCGGCCACAGGTGAGCGGGCCCGGGGATGGGGCCTGGGGGGGGGGCCGCCCCGGGGACGGAGACCCGAGCGGGGTGCGTCTTCCTCCCGTCGGCCCCCAGCACCCCTGGAGATGTGGCCACGCTGGGGGGGGATCCCCGGCGGGGCTGGACACCGAGCTGGTCGCGCTGCGCGCCCGCCCCCCGGGGCCCCGCGGAGCGCGGGGTCCGCTCACCCGGCCCCAGCCGGGCCTGACAGGACCAGCCAGGGGCTGGTGCACCGGAAACGAAGGGGAGCCCCGGGGGTGAGGGCGGGCAGCCGCTGGAGGTGTCGAAGGTAGAATGATGAAAACTATCACATGTGGGCTGCCCGAGACCTGGCTCGTGTATCAAGCGCCAGGCCCCGCGAGTTCAAACCCCGCTCCTGCAAAACAGATGCGCACATAAATGAAGAAAATAATGGTGACTCCATCTGCAAGCAACTGCTAGCACGTCCTCGAAAGGAAAAGGGGTTTGAAGGCAGGGCAAGGGAAGCTACAAAGGACAGGAAGAGCTTTAGGCAGATGGCAAATGTCGAAATAGGTAGTTGGGCTTATGAGTGTGTGTGTATGGGGCGTGCGTGCGCGTGTGCGGCACACATGCCAGTACTGAACTTGAACTCGGGACTGGGGCACTATCCCAGGAGAGCTGGCATTCTTCCACTTCAGTTCCACTTCCAGCTTTTGGCTGGTTAATCGGACGTAAGAATCTTACAGATTTATTTTTTGCCCTGGCTTGGCCCTGAACTGGGATGCTCAGATATCAGCCTCCTGAGTAGCTAGGATTACAGGCATGAGCCCCTGGGCTCCTGGCTTCATGCAATTGTATTTTGGGGAGATGATAGTTGTTCTAAAAAAGAGACCACCAGTTTCCTCTGTATCTCAGAGGACCTCAAAATAGAACAACAGGATTTGATTAAATGGTAGTGTATTCCAGATAGTTGTAAACATTAAGGAAGTGCTATCAAGAAAAGTAAAGATGGGCTGGGAAGGTGGCTCAGTGGTAGAGCATGAGGCCCTGGGGTCAATTCCTCAGCACCACTTAAGCAAAAAGAAAAAAGCCGGAAGTGGTGCTGTGGCTCAAGTGGTAGAGCGCTAGCCTTGAGGTGAAGAGCTGAGGGACAGCGCCCAGGCCCAGAGTTCAGGCCCCATGACCGGACCGCCCCCCCAAAAAAAAAAAAAGAAAAGAAAAGTAAATTAAAGATAAGCCGACTTTATTGGCATTTCAAAGCCACCATAGCATGTGAAGCAGCAATAGCACATCTCAGTCGTCAGGAGTGAGGGTTTTCTAGCATTACCTTCTGCAAGAGGCATTAAGGGATACATTGACAAATCTAAAATTCCCAAAAGCACACGCAAATATTACTTGCAATGTTACTGGGGAGATGTTTTGCAAATTGTGTGAGAAGATATACATTTTAAAAATTAACGCAAGGTGACCGGGATGTAGCTCAAGAGTAGAATACGCTAGCATGTGCAAGGGCCCGAGTTCAATCCCAAGTACCGTAGAAAACAAGAGCAGCAACCTAGGAAAAGGAATGATATCCCCTAGAGTTGTACAGTGTGTGCAACTTTACCATAGGCCCTGGATAGCGAACTTCCCTTCTATCTGAGGTCCTTAAACCAGGAGGTGATTTCTCCACTGACAAGAAAGTACCATCTACCTGCTCTTGTTTTGTTTTTTTTTTTTTGTCGGTCATGGGGCTTGAACTCTGGGCCTGGGCGCTGTCCCTCAGCTCTTCAGCTCAAGGCGAGTACTCTACCACTTGAGCTACAGCGCCACTTCCGGTTTTCTGGTGGTTTATTGGAGATAGGAGTCTCACAGTCTCTCCTGTCCGGGCTGGCTTTGAACCTCGATCCTCAGATCTCAGCCTCCTGAGTAGCTAGGATTACAGGCGTGAGCCACCAGTGCCCGGCTGCTCTTGTTTTTTGTTAAGACAAATTCTCTCACTCCATAGTCCATACTGGCCTCCACCAATCTCCCCGGTGCTGAGATTGTAAGTGTGCATCACCATACCTGGTCTCCCCCGATTCTGTAGGCACTGATCCTGTTACTTACAAATGAAGATGGCAAAGTGCACTGTGGAGTGGATTCTAGGATCAGGATCTTGTCAGGACTCCTGATTGTTCTCTGATTCTGGCATTTCCTGTTCTGTCCCTCCACGTGAGCTGTCTATAGTACAGTCAGCAACAAGAGAGATTTCCACCTATGGACAGATGTTCTTAATAAGCAGGCTGGGAAGGTGGCTTAGTGGTAGAGTGCTTGCCTAACATGCATGAAACCCTGGGTTCAGTACCACATACACAGAAAAAAAAGCCAGAAGTGGCGCTGTGGCTCAAGTGGTAGAGCGCTGCTAGCCTTGAGCACAGAGAGGCTCAGGGACACAGAGCTCAGACACTGAGTTCAACACCCAGGATGCCACACCCCCTCCCCCCCAACCAAAGCAATCTTTTTTTTTTTTTTTGCCAGTCATGGGGCCTGAACTCTGGGTCTGGACGCTGTCCCTCAGCTCTTCAGCTCAAGGCTAGCTCTCTACCACTGGAGCCACAGCGCCACTTCCAGCTTTTTCTGTTTATGTGGTGCTGAGGAATCGAACCCAGGGCCTCATGCTTGCAAGGCAAGCACTCTACCACTGAGCTTCCTTCCCAGCCCCAAAGCAATCTTCTTAAGCTCCCAGAAGGAACCTTTCTAGCTCCAGCCCAGTACCACCTGGTCCCTTGGAACTGCTTCTGTTTGCTATGATTTTTCACCTTCTTTGGTCACAGCTGAGAACCTCTGCTTGTTTTCCGAGGTCTTTGCCAACCTCCAAGGGACCTGGAGGCATGGGTCAGAGTGCCTGCCTGCCAAGCATGAGGCCCAAGTTCAAAGCCATAGCGCTTCCAAAGCTGCAGGGAGCATTCATCTCTGCCTTGAGACTCAAGTTCTCCTACGTGCTGGAAATGTTTTTTTTTTTTTTTTTCCCACCAGTCCTGGGGCTTGAACTCAGGGCCTGAGCACCATCCCTGAGCCTCTCTGTGCTCAAGGCTCTCTACCACTTGAGCCACAGCGCCACTTCTAGCTTCTTCTGTGTATGTGGTACGGAGGAATCGAACCCAGGGCTTCATGCATGCTAGGCAAGCGCTCTACCACGGAGCCACCTTCCCAGCCCCGTGCCATACACTCTGCAGCCTAATGAGTCTCCCGCACCCTGTTTCTCCCAGGCACATGCTCGCGATCACATGGAGAGTGAAAGCGCAGACTCACCATGAAAACCAGCCCCCGGCGGCCACTGATTCTCAAAAGACGGAGGCTGCCCCTTCCTGTCCAGAATGCCCCAGCAGAGGCAGCAAAGGAGGAGCCCAAGGGGCCCCCTGCCCGACAGGAGGACCCCCCTCCTGCGGGAGCCCCGGCCTCCGCGGGGTCAACAGAGTCCAGCTCCTGCAAGTTCCCAGCGGGAATTAAGATCATTAACCACCCCACCATGCCCAACACGCAAGTGGTGGCCGTCCCCAGCAACGCCGACGTGCAGAGTATCATCACCGCTCTGACGGCCAAGGGAAAGGAGAGCGGCAGCAGCGGGCCCAACAAATTCATCCTCATCAGCTGCGGGCGGGCGCCCCAGCCTCAGGCCCGAGCCCAGGGTGACCCCAGGAGGACAGACGGCGGGCCCCAGACAGCCGACCCGAAGCCTGCTGCCAGGAACGTAAACGCAAGCCAGTCGCCCACAGCCGCTCCGAGGCTGGGGGCCGAGAGCTGTGGTATGTGCGCTGCGGGGGGGGGAGGGGGGGGGGAGGCTGCACTTCCGGCTTCACGGCAAGGTCCACCCTCGGTCAGTCATGGGATGCCTGCCATAGACAGGCATCCTAGCTCTGCCTGGAGGTCCTGTCTTCCTTCATCCTGGGCTCCTGTTGAGATTTCAGTGATAATGTCGCATTTCCTATAGCCTTCTTTACACTGGAAAAGGATTTCGTTTGTTAAGAGAGTACATGAGGGGCTGGGAAGGTGGCTCAGTGGTAGAGCGCTTGCCTTGCATGCATGAGGTCCTGGGTTCGATTCCTCAGCACCACATAAGCAGAAAAAGCTGGAAGTGGCGCTGTGGCTCCAGTGGTAGAGCGCTAGCCTTGAGCTGAAGAGCTGAGGGACAGTGCCCAGGCCCAGAGTTCAGGCACCATGACTGGCAAAGAAAAAAAAAAAGAGAGAGTAAATGATTTATTAGCGGGCGCTGGTGGCTCACGCCTGTCATCCTAGCTGTTCGGGAGGCTGAGATCGGAGAATTGAGGTTCAAAGCCAGCATAGCATGGGCTTTGAAAAAAGTCCATGAGACTTTTTTCTCCAGTGACTCACCAGGAAACCAGAAGTGGCTCTGTGGCTCACAAGTGGTAGAGCGCCAGCCTTGGGCCCAAATTGGCTCAAGGCAGGCATGCATCCCACGTGGATTATTTTTACTTGTTTCACTGGGAGCCACCAGCACCTGGCGTCAAAGGAGCAGCTGAGAAGCATGGGGAGGAAACTCGATTTTGTGCAAATAAGCAATAACCCATCTGTAAGGTTGCCTTGCCTCGTGTCAAAGATTCTGTCTGAGCCAGGCGCTGGTGGCTCACCCTGCGATCCTAGCTAATCAGGAGGCTGAGATCTGAGGATCAGAGGTTTGAAGCCAGCCTGGGCAGGAAAGTCCATAAGACTCTTATCTCCGGCGAAGCATCAAGCTATGGCTCAAGTGGTAAGAGCATAAAAGCTCAAGGATAGAGACAGAACCCAGGCTCCTTGTGTGTAAGCCCCAGGATCAATCTGGCTCCTACTGGAATGCACTTTGAACTGTGCTGGGTTTCTCCTGAAGTCCACAACTTGGTAAACTAAGAGTAGAGGTCAAGGGGGGTGGAGGGGGGCGCTAGTCACCAACTGTGGGTCTGTTGGGCATCTGGTGAGGGAGACGTTGAAGTCTCAGATTGTTCCCTCTAGCTGGCGGTGAGGCGGCGGGCTGCGTTCTGGACAGCAGCCTGACCAACATCCAGTGGCTTGGGAAAATGAGCTCGGATGGGCTGGGCCCCTGTGACGTGAAGCAAGAGGCGGAGGACAAGGAGAACTTCCCGCCGGAGCAGAATCACATCAAGGTAAACTGTTCCCTCCTCCCCAAGAAGTCGGTCAGTGCCGCGAGTGTGCTAAGTCTGAACTCGGCCTTGGGCTTCCTAGGCAGCTGCTCTACCACTGGGGCTACACCCCTGCCCTTTATTGGCTTTAGTTGTGGGGACAAGGGCGGGGTGGGGGGGGGAGGAGACAGGTACTGGGGTTTGAACTCAGGGCCTTGGTCTCTCCATTGGGCCACAGCTCCACTTCCAGCTTCGTGGTATTTAGTCAGAGATGAGAGTCTCGTGGACCTTGCCTGCCCAAGGTTGGCTTTGAGCCGTGATCCTTAGATTCCAGCCTCCTGAGTAGCTAGGATCGCAGGCGGGAGCCACCCAACGCCTGGCTCAGTTTTTAAAACTGAACGATGAAATCTTTTATCTGAGACCTAGCAAAATCCGTGAGCTCTGGAGATACTTGTTACCTGCTTGCGAGTGTGTCTCTTTGCAAATGTTGAAATGGGTTATTCACGTCAGCAAGAGGCATAGAACTCATTGAGCCAGGAGTCTGCAAAACGGGCATGGGTTAATAGAAAACCAGTGCTTCCAATAAAGACGTTTCAATTGGATCTTTTCTGTCATCGGACAACAAAATGATGATAGGTAAGCGTGCGACGGGTTGTGTGTCTGGTACACTTCTGGGACCCGGAGGCCTCTGCGGTGGGGCCGGTCCTCGGGAACGTGTCTGTTGCCATCCCCCCCTCTCCGCCCCCCCCTTGGGCATGTCTTTCCCCACAGGTGGAGGAGCCGTCGGGAGCGCCGGCATCCTGGCAGGACTCTGTGTCTGAACGGCCACCCTACTCCTACATGGCTATGATCCAATTCGCCATCAACAGCACCGAGCGGAAGCGCATGACCTTGAAGGACATCTACACTTGGATCGAGGACCACTTCCCCTACTTCAAGCACATTGCCAAGCCGGGCTGGAAGGTAATCTGCCCCCTGGCCGCCGCGGCCCAAGGTCACTGGGGCCCTCCAGTGTGCACCAGGGGTGTGGGTCACCTGCAGAGTGGCCTGATGCCGTGAACTCAGGCCGTGTCACCACTTCCTGCATCAGTCTTTGAGGATTCTGGGGAGAATTCAGGAGTGGTAGCAGACCCCCCCCCCCCCCCTTTGTGCCACAAGCCATCCAAGAGACCACAGCAGGAGTGTGCACCAAGTTTTATGAAAGGTCTTTTGTGTGTGTGTGTGTGTGTGTGTGTGTGTGTGTGTGTGTGTGTGTGTGTGTGTGTGTGTGAGATGAGTCTTGAACTCAGGGCCTGGGCGCTGTCCCTCAGCTCTTCAGCTCAAGGCTGGCGCTCTACCACTTGGGCCACAGCACCACTTCCGGTTTTCTGAGTGGTTTATTGGAGATTAGAGTCTCAAAGACATTCCTGCCTGAGCTAGCTCTACGGTGCGGAGGCTGAGGGAGAGGTGATATTCCTGAAGCTACATCTGGTGATAATAGTGATCTCTCTTGGTTTATTGTTTTTTCCCCGATTCTGGCTTGAACTCTGGGCTTGGGCACAATCCCTAAGCTGTTTCCGCTCAAGACTAGCGAGCAACCACTTGACCTACAGAGCTACTTCTGGCTTTGTTGATTAGAGATAAAGACTCACAGATGCCACTGCCCAGAGCTGGCTTCAAACTGCGATCCTCAGATCTCAGCCTCCTGAAGAGCGGCGTGAATGACTGCTCCCCGACTAACTAGGCGTCTTTCTCCTTCAGAATTCTATCCGGCACAACCTCTCCCTCCACGACATGTTTGTCCGGGAGACGTCAGGCAATGGCAAGGTCTCTTTCTGGACCATTCACCCCAGTGCCAACCGCTACCTGACGCTGGACCAGGTGTTCAAGGTGAGGCTCTCGACCCGTTCTTACTGGATCAGCAACCCATGAGACCCACCGATAAATCCCGCCTGGCCGCCCCTGTGCTAGAGGACATTATAGAGCCAGGTGGGGGCAGTGTTTCCCTGGAACACTTCATACTCTGCAGCTTTCCTGGCTCCTGATTCCACGTGTCTGGAGGGGGGATCCAGGAATCTGTATTTTCAGCAAGCGTCTCAGTGGGGTAGGGAGGGTGGGGTTCTTAGAGCCACAGATATCAGGTCGGGCGCGGGTGGCTCACGCCTGTCATCCCAGCTACTCAGGAGGCTGAGATCTGAGGATCAGCAGTTCCAAGCCAGCCCGGGCAGAAAAGTTCCCTGAGACTCAGAAAACCAGAAGTGGCGCTGTGGCTCAAGTGGTAGAACGCTGGCCTTGAGCTGAAGAGCTCAGGGACAGCGCCCAGGCCCTGAGTTCAAGTCCCACAACCAACCAAAAACAAAACACTAGAGATCAGAAACACAGCCGTTCCCCGGCACCTCTCTCTCCGGGAGCTGTGTGTAGCGTTGGGACTCCGGAGGGCCCAGGCGCTCCCCTGGGACGAGTGTCCGTCTTGCCAGGCTGGCCAGCTTGGCCACCTCGGTGGTGACTTGGTGTTCTTTTTCTCCACCATGCCCGGCCGCCACCAGCCAGTGGACGCGGGATCTCCACCGTCACCGCGGGCCCTGGAGTCAGTTAGGTTCTTCCCTTGCCCGGGGCTTGGCCCGTGTCTCCTCCCGCCTCAGCATGACTTTAGTGTGGAGGGGAGGGAGCCGATGGCCGAGGGCCTGGCAGGCCCCGTATGCGGGGTGGGGGGGGGGCTGCGTACCCCTCCCTCCCCTCGACTCCCACGGGGCTCCCAGAGGTGCACTGAGCAGAGCAGGGCGGGAAGGGCATCAGGAGGCCTTGTCTCCACCCACCCACGGCCATCTCTTCCTGAGCTGTCCACTGCGATGCACCAGCTTGCGCCGATGGGGTTCTGAGCCTGAGGTTCTTAACTCCTTAATCCTGGTCTCCCCCGCCCCGCCCCGCCATGAGCAGCAGCAGAAGCGGCCCACCCCGGAGCTCCGCCGCAACACCGTCATCAACGCCGAACTCCCGCTGGGCGCACGTGAGTCCGACCGTGCATGCAGGCCGGCCTGCTTCCCCGGGGCGAGCGCCCCGCGGTCCTCTCCTCGCCAGCCCCCTGCCCCTCATCCCTCCTCTCCCCTCCCAGGGCGGAAGATGAAGCCGCTGCTGCCACGCGTCAGCTCCTACCTGGTCCCCATCCAGTTCCCCGTGAGCCAGCCGCTGGTGCTGCAGCCCTCGGCCAAGGCGCCCCTGCCCCTGGCGGCCTCGCTCGTGGGCTCGGAGCTGGCTCACCACGGCAAGCGCGTGCGCATCGCCCCCAAGGTGAGCGTAAGTCCGGTGCCACCAACACGGGCCAGCTTCTGGGCAGAGAGGAGGGCGGATGCCTGCAAAGGCCTGTGGCATTGGTGGGGTGCAGACCAGGCACTTAGGGGGCCGGTGCCCAGGGCAGTGACAGAGGAGGCTGCGAGGCCGGCCGGGGAGGGAGAGCAGCAAGGCCCCCATGCCCGGTCCTGGTACAGCGGGAGCCGCCCTCGCCCGCTTCTCGGTCTCCAGTGGGAGACACTGAGGGCTGGATAATTGTTTGTGGGAGTTGGAGTGATGCCGTCCCAGGTGTCCCCGGGGGGGGGGGGGGGGGGGACCCAGGCCCGGCCCAGAGCCCAGGTCTTTGGTCCAGGGAGGAGGGAGGGGAAGGGAGCACTGTCTGTAGTCGCCAAATCTGGACTTGACTGTGGGGAGAAGGTTCTGTGGGCAGGGGTGCTGTGCCAGGGCCCGGGACATCTGTCACCGCTGGGAGGCCCGAGTGGGTGTGGCTGAATGACACTCCGGGGTTTGCAGAGAAGCACATTGTGCATGCTCGCTCTCTTCCATTCCCCCTCTCCCCCTCCCTGACCTGCCTCCTCCTTTCCTTCCCGTCCCGTTTTCCTCCTTCCCTCTCTTCCTTCCCCCTGTCTGTCTGTACAAGCTGACATTGAACTTGAATTCCTCCTGTCTCAAACTCCTTAGTACTGGGATTACATACTTGACCCTTCCTGCCTCTCTTCCCTCCCTCCCTCCCTTCTTCCTTCCTTCCTGTTGGTCATGGGACTTGAACTCAGGGCCTGGGCAGTCCCCAGACTTTTTTGCTCAAGGCTAGTGGCCTACCACTTCGAGCCACAGCTCTACTTCTTGTTTTCTGGTGGCTCACTGGAGATAAAAGAGTTACAGAGATTTGTGCCTGGGCTGGCTTTGAACCATGACGCTCAGATCTCAGCCTCCTGAGTAGCTAGGATTATAGGCGTGAGCCACCAGTGCCTGGTTTGCCTTTCTTTCTTTCTTTCTAATTACAAACTTTTTTTTTTTGGTTGGATCGTGGGGCCTGAACTCTGGGCCTGGGCGCTGTCCCTCAGCTCTTCAGCTCAAGGCTAGCACTCTACCACTTGAGCCACAATGCCAGTTCCAGCTTTTTTTTTTCTGCTTATGTAGTGCTGAGGAATCAAACCCAGGGCTTCAGGCATGCAAGGCAAGCGCTTTACCACTGAGCCACCTTCCCAGCCCTAATTACAAACTTTTATAGAGCCAGATGCCTGTAATCCTAGCTAGTAAGGAGATTGGTATAGCGTATCTTGGTTCGAAGCCAGGCAGATAGACCAGACCAAGACTCTTACCTCCAATTACCCAACAGAAAGCCAGTGTTGGAGATGCTGTTCAAGTGGTCAAGTGATAGCCTTGAATAGAAAAAGCCAATCAAGAGTGTGGAGACCCTGAGTCCAAACCCCAATGCCTCACAAAAATAATAAAATAATAATATAATCTGCCCTCTTCATTATGATGCTACGTTCTCATACTTACAGATTTTCTTCTTCTTTTTTTTTTTTTTTTGGGGGGGGTTTGGTCGTGGGTCTTGAACTCTGGGCCTGGGCGCTGTCCCTCAGCTCTTCAGCTCAAGGCTAGCGCTCTACAACTTGAGCCACAGCACCACTTCTGGCTTTTTTTTTTCTTTTTGCTTATGTGGTGCTGAGGAATCGAACCCAGGGCTTCAGGCATGCAAGGCAAGCGCTCTACCACTGAGCCACCTTCCCAGCCCCTCATACTTACAGATTTTCTAAGAGTTTAGAAAAACAAGACACTGGGTGCCTGTGGCTCACGCCTGTCATCCTAGCTACTCAGGAGGCTGAGATCTGAGGATTGAGGTTCAAAGCCAGCCCGGACAGGAAAGTCCATGAGACTCTGATCTCCCATGAACCACCGGAAAACCAGAAGTGGCGCTGTGGCTCAAGGGGTAGAGCGCTCGCCTTGAGCTGAAGAGCTGAGGGACAGCGCCCAGGCCCTGAGTTCAAGTCCCAGGACCAACATAATTGATTAATTAATAAGACAGGAAAGCTGAGGGGCTGGCTGAGTGCTGGAGCGCTTTCCACCGAGCACCAGCAGGAGATCTCGAGAGGCTCGGCCCCATGCCCACGGTCCTCTCCCCTCCCCGCCACGTCTGTCCCAGGGTCTGCTGACCGACGAAGGCGTCGCCCCTCTGCCCGCGGCCGGCCCCGTGAAGGAGGAGCCCCTGCTTGGGGAGGGATCGCTGCTGCCCTTGCTGCCCGTCCGGTCCATCAAGGAGGAGGAGAGCCAGCCCGAGGACGACGCGGCCCTCCCCACGAGACCCATCAAGGTGGAGAGCCCCCCGCTGGAGGAGTGCCCCTCCCCCTGCCTGTCCCCCCGCGAGGACTCGTCCTGCTCCCCCACGCCGCGCCGCCGGAAGCCCTGCGGCGGCCTCTGCTCCCCAGCCCGCTGCGTGTCCGAGATGCTGCTCCTGCAGCGCAGGGAGCGCAGGGAGATGAGCCGCTCGCGCAGGAAGCAGCACCTGCGCCCGCCCCGCCTGGACGAGCCCGAGCTGCTGCTCTCCGACGCCCCGCTCCTGGCCGACGCCTCCGAGCCCGAGGAAGGCGGGCCCTTCAAGACGCCCGTCAAGGACACGCTGCCCGCCTCCTCCACCCCCAGCAAGTCCGTCCTGCCCAGAACCCCCGAGTCCTGGAGGCTCACCCCCCCGGCCAAAGTGGGGCCCCTAGACTTCAGCCCGGTGCGCGCGCCGCCCGGGGCCTTCACGCTGCCCGAGCCGCTCACGCTGCCCGGGCTCAGCACCACGCCGCTCAAGAATGTACCCCTGTTCGACTCCCCCCGGGAGCTGCTCAATGCTGAGCCCTTCCACCTCAGCTCCGACCCCTTCGGGAGCTCCTGCCCCTCCGACCTTGAGGCCCCCAAGCCGGGCTCCCCGGACCCGCAGGGCCCCGGCCCGTCGGCCAACCGGTCCCTCACGGAAGGCCTGGTCCTGGACACCATGAACGACAGCCTGAGCAAGATCCTGCTGGACATCAGCTTCCCCGGCCTGGAGGACGACCCGCTGGGCCCCGACAGCATCAACTGGTCTCAGTTCATCCCCGAGCTGCGGTAGAGGCTGGGCCTCCGCCGCCGGGCCTCCGGGCTGGGCGCGCGCATGTGCGTGTGCAACCCCGGGCCTCTGCCGGGAGCAAGGCGGGCACGAGCCACGTCGCACACCCAGGCGGTGGCCGCTGCGGGCAGCAGCGCCTGCCCGGAGAACCTTCACGGCTCTGCGCCCCCCAGCCCCCCCCCCCCGCCCCACGCTTTGTGGGGTGCCTCCTGTCAATGGTGTAAATCCTCCAGATCCTCCTCTAGTTACACACGGGAGCTCATCCTGGGGATCATTACCCACAGGCTGCTGGGAGGAGGAAGGGGGGCATCTGCTGGGTACAGGGTGCTCAGGCCTGAGGCACCCCAGGGTGGGGGGGCTCCCTGCTTTTTGGGGTTCCCCTCCCCTGTCCTCCCTCCCCAGGCCAGGTAACGGGATCTCTGGTACTGGGTGAAGAGTTGAATTTGGGGGTGAGGGGACCCAGATCCCCCCCACCACGTGTCTCTCCGATCATGCCCCTGATGGTGCCAGGGAGACCCAGCACTGAAGAGAAGGCGGCCGGAGGTGGGAGCGGCAGAGGGCCCCGACCTGCCTGCCCCCCCCCCCCCAGCCTGCCCCTCAGCTTTGCAAAGGGCCCCCCCACCCTTAGGCCCCGCCTCCAGAACACTACTGTACCTACCTGCTGAATAAAACCCACGGTGCAAATGCTGCTGTCTGGACTGCTGGTATTGGGAGGGGGGAGGCGTAGCTTTGGCCCCAGGCCCCTCCCCTGGGGCCTTTCTCTGACATGGCCAGCTTCCCAGAGTGTCCAGCCCCCCCCACCCCAGAAGGACAAAGCGGAAGTGAGCCCGGCTTCCGTCCTCTGACAAGCAGCTATGGGATTGCCTTGGTGGGGCTTGAACTCTGTCCCCAAGCTCTGTCACCCAAGGCTAGCTCTCTACTGCTTTGAGCCACTTCCAGTTTTCTGGTGGTTCACGGGAGATCAGTCACAGGCTTTCCTGCCCAGGCCGGTGTTGAATCCCAATCCTCCGATCTCAGCCTCCTGAATAATGGATTATAGGCGGGAGTCACTGGTGCCTGGCTCACAGAAAGGGAGCCAGGACCCCAGGGACTGAGGAGCCTCCAGGGACAGGTCAGGGCCTCCTCCCTGTAGCACCAGCCAGGGAGCATCACCATAGCAACCCCAGCAGCAAACAATGGTGCCTGGAAGGCCTTCCCCACCAAGCCACCTGCCCTGGGCCCGGTCCTGAGGCTCAGAAAAATGGCCAGCAAGCCAGAAAGATCACTCCAAGGGCCCGGGGGGTACCAGCAGCAGCCGACAGAAGCATCTAGAGTCAGGCAGCCTTTCCTGCAGGTAGGGGGCGGGCCTTCCTGTCTAGGCCGGGAGCTGTTGGCAAATGGAGGAGCTTTCTCCAGACCTCGGGCCTCTCTCCTCCCCTCCACCTTGGGCCCCAATCAATGTGGATCTTAGAACTGGGCACTGGGTGGCCAGGGCCCGTCATCCCAGCTACTCAGGAGGCTGAGATCTGAGGATGGCGGTTCAAAGCCAGCCCAGGCAGGAAGGTCCGTGAGACTCTCCTCCTCATAAACCACTCAAAAAGCTGGACGGAGAGCTGTGGCTCAAGTGGTAGAGCACTAGCTTTGAATAAATGCTTTTATTCAGTACCCAGGCCCTGAGTTCAAGCCCCGGGACCAGCACATACATACACTCTCTTACCCAAATTCTGTGGTCAGCCTCCTTTAACTGTTTTCAGAGTTGGGAATATTCTTGGATTTGGGAGTATCTGCATGTGAACACGGAGCTTATCTTGGGGATGGGACCCAAGAAGGAACAGGACCTCGGTTATCTTGTAGATGTGCATTACATACCTAATCTCAGAGTGACGTGGCCCCGTGTTTGTAGTGTGCCTGTGTTCTGGCTCCAACCGGTCTCACAGACGTTCCTGCCCAGGCTGGCTTTGAACCACAATCTTCAGATCTCAGCCTCCTGAGTAGCTAGGATGACAAGGCCTGAGCCACTGGTGCCCGGCGGAAGAAGCCTTTTGAAAGAGGCTCAGCTAGGCCCTGAGTCGGGCTGTGTGCTTCGTGGGGCCTTCCCACAGCTGTGTGTCCAGCGAGCCCCAGCCCTGGGCTCGCCAGTTTGAAGGCTTCAACCCCCGGTTGCCGCACCCTGACTCTCTGTGCCTGTAGGTCAGGGCAGGCAGGAGCCCAGGACAGGAGCGATACTCTCCCAGACCCCCTTAAAGCCCTCCCCCATCCCACGACCTACCAGCCTCTCATTAGGCTCCTCCCCCTCCCCATGCCCCACCCCTTCCTTCCCGATCAAGCCATTAGGACACCTGTCAGGACCACAGCCGCTGGGAGAAAAGTCACGCTTGTGGGTGGTTCCCGCTGGCTCCCGCCTGTCAGCCCAGCTACTCAGGAGGCTGAGATCTGAGGATCACGGTTCAAAGCCAGCCCCGGCAGGAAAGTCTGTGAGACTCTTATCCCCACTGGGCCATCTGAAAACTGGAAGTAGTGCTGTGGCTCAAAGTGGTAGAGCGCCAGCCTTGAGCAAGAAGAGCTCGGGGCAGTGCCCAGACCCTGAGTTCAAGCCCCATGACCGACCCAACCAAAAAAAAGTCACCTTTGCGCATAGCACTTGAAGATTAAGGGAGACAGACATACCTAAGAACAGAGCACAGAGTCCAAACGGTAGCTCGTGGAGGATGCTGTGCAGAAAAGGGGGGAAATTAACATTCTAGATGCTTTCTAGATTTGCTTGCCTTTGTGTGTATGTGTGTTTGTGTGCATGTGTGTGCTGGTATACTGCGGCTTGAACTCAGGACCTGGGTGCTGTCTGTCCCTGATCTTTTATTTTTCAGTCATAGGGCTTGAACTCAGGGCCTGGGCACTGTCCCTGAGCTCTTTTGCTCAAGGCTAACACTTGGAGCCACAGCGCCACTTCCCGTTTTCTGGTGGATCATGGGAGATCAGAGTCTCACAGACTTTCCTGCCCGGGCTGGCTTTGAACCTCGATCCTCGGATCTCCGCCTCCTGAGTCGCTGGGATGACAGGCGGGAGCCGCTGGTGCCCAGTTGGTTTGTGTTTTAGTGAGTGGACGAAAGCACCGTTGAGAGAAATTAGAGTCGCCTGGCCTCTGTCACCAGCTCAGACCAGGAGCAAGGGAGGGTGAGCTTCTAGAATGCTCGGGCTGGGCCATCACCTCTCACAATGTCCCCATCACATCCTCGATCGATGTACCTTCTTGGGAACACCAGTCCCTGGGCAGGAAGAGGGGCCGCCCGATGGAGTGGGATGAAGACAAAGACACAGTTGAGGAAAGGCTTCGAAATTTGAGAGCTCAAGCCAGGCTCCTGTGGCTCCCGCCCGTCATCCCAGCTACTCAGGAGGCTGAGATCGGAGGACCGAGGTTCAAGGCCAGCCCAGCACAAAGGGAGAAGTGGAGCTGTGGCTGAAGTGGTAGAGCACCAATCTTGAGCAGAAAGAGGTCAGGATTGTCCAGGTGTCGGTGGCTCCCGCCTGTCACCCTAGCTACTCAGGAGGCTGAGATCTGAGGATTATCGTTTGAAGCCAACCCAGGCAGGAACGTCCGTGATACTCTCCTCTTCGATACACTACTCAGAAAAGCCGGAAGTGGCGTTGTGACTCAAGTGGTAGAGCACTAGCCTTGAGCAAACACAGCTCAGGGACAGCGCCCAGGCTCTGAGTTCAAGCCCCAATCCTGGCACAAGAAAAGAAAGAGGAAGGAAGGAAGGAAGGAAGGAAGGAAGGGAGGGAGGAAGGAAGGAAGGGAGGGAGGAAGGAAAGAAGGGAGGGAGGGAGGGAGGGAGGGAGAGAGGGAGGGAAAAAGAAAGGAAGGAAAGAAGGAAGGAAGGAAAAAAGAAAGGAAGGAAAGAAGGAAGGAAGGAAGGAAGGAAAAAAAGGAAGGAAGGAAAAAAGGATGGAAGGAAGGAAGGAAGGAAGGAAGGAAGGGAAGGAGGGAAGACCTCCCAGCGTCCTTTCTGTCTGTCTCTCCCTAGAAGGTCCACACCATCGAACCATGCCAGGTCCCCCAAACCCTGGCTCAACGCGAGTTCCTGCTCCCCACACAAGAGCTGCAGATGCCCGGCTTCACCCCGAAATGCTACCACCGGCTGGCCACCAGACAGCTGCCGCACCTGGAAACCAAGTGCAAGATGCGCCGGTACCTGGCGAGCCCCAGGAGGGACGCCCCCCCGCACCACCCGTGGGGCTTCCACACGTGGCTGGACGTGGGGCGCCTGCCGCTCACCCTGCCCTCCCGGCCCGACAAAGTCTACGACAGCAACGTGTGGCGCTGGCTGACCAGGAGCGGGCCCTGCTCCCCCGCCAGCACCCCAGTGCCCCCTCCCTCCATCCTGGGTCCCAATAGCTTCCTGACCTTCATCCAGTCCACGCCCATCTTCCTGGATGCCAACAGGAAGAAGCAGGTGATGGGCCGCGCGGCCAGGGAGCTGAGGGAGGGGCAGAAGCTCAAGCTGAGGAGCGAGGTCAGGGCGCCCCCGCTGGACACCCAAGGCAACATCCTGCCCCCTACAGGCTACAAGAAGTAAGACAGGGGGAGTCTTCTTGGTGTGTGTGTGGGGGGGGGGGGTCTCTCCCATGTCTGTACCTGGGGTCCCTTCTTCCCTCTCTCTGACCCCTGTTTCTTCTGCTGTCGAAGCTGGTAACCACACCTACGGACATCTGATCTATTTATTTTTTTTTGCCAGTCCTGGGTTTTGAACTCAGGGCCTGGGAGCTGTCCCTGAGCTTCTTTGGCTCAAAGCTGGCGCTCTACCCCTTGAGCCACCGTACCATGTCCGCTTTTCTCTGTGTCTGTGGTGCTGAGGAATCGAACCCAGGGCTTCATGCATGCTAGGCGAGCGCTCTACCCATGAGCCACCTTCCCAGCCCCACCCTGGTTACTTTTAACCTAGGGTCTTTCTTTATGTCCAGGCTGGCCTGGGCTGCAATCCTCCTATATTGTGCTTCCCATGGGGCTGCTGGATTAAAGGATGTGCCACCGTGACCCGTCACTGTTTGAGATGGAATCTTATGAACTTCTTTATTTGGAAGGGGGGGGTAGGAGGGCTTGGGCGGGCTTCAAACCTCAATCCCTAGATCTCCATTTCCCCAAGTAGCTAGGATTACAAGCGTCAGCCACAGTACCTGGCCCTGGTATTTTTATACTATTATGATTATATGTCCTGGAGGTCGTGGATACAGATGCAGGGCCTCACACGTGCTAATCAATTTCCCGTGCCCCCCATCTCTACCTGAGCCCTCTGGGAGTTTTGTTTTCAAAACCCCCTCATGCATGGTTTTAATGCCCAGTCATAGTCAGGCACTGGTGGCTCCCGCCTGTCATCCCAGCTACTCAGGAGGCTGAGATCTGAGGATCATGGTTCAAAGCCAGCCCCAGGCAGGAAAATCCACGAGACTCTCATCTCTCATAAACCACCAGAAAACCAGAAGTGGCGCTGTGGCGCAAGGGGTAGAGAGCCTCAGCCTTGAGCTGAAGAGCTCAGAGCCCAGGCCCAGAGTTCAAGCCCCATGGCCCACAAAAA